TCCGGTTCTTTAGTCCACTTAATGTCCTTTGGAAACCATCCTGAAGAAATAGCACATATAGGAACAAAGATAGGTATACAATAATGTTAACTACAGTGAATTTTATGATAACAAAAAATTAGAAGAAACCTAAATGTCCAAGTGAAGGATAACATCCCCATGTGATGGAATGTCATTTATTTAGATATGGAGGGGTTTGATGATAAAAGTACAGGGTAGAGTAAAAGTAGGTTTATAGTTGTGAGTATATGAAACAATTTATTTTTGTATTATTATTTAGTAATTATTGTATTGTTTTCCATATGAACAACTGTAAACCTATTTTCACCTTTACTCTGTATACATGGCATAAAACTTACCATTTTAGCCGAAACTGGTTTGGCTCAGTGGTAGAGCGTCGGCCTGCAGACTGAAGGGTCCCAGGTTTGATTCTGGTCAAGGGCATGTACATTGGTTGTGGGCACATCCTTGGTGGGGGCTATGCAGGAGGCGGCTGGTCAATATTTCTCTCTCATCAACGTTTCTGGCTCTCTATCTCTCTCCCTTCCTCTCTGTAAAAAAATCAATAAAATATATATATTTTTTTAAAACTTACCATTTTAGCCATTTTTAATCATGCAATTAATTCAATGACATTAAATACATTTGGATTGCTATGCTACCATCATCACTTTCCCTATAAAACTTTCCTCTTCTTGCATAACTCAAACTCTATAGCTGTTCAACAATTTTCTTTTCTCCCCTCATCCCAGCCCCTGGCTACTGCCATCCTATTTTCAGTTTTTATGAATTTGACTATCCTAGTAATATAAGTGGAATCTTATGGTATTTACCTTTTGGGCTGGCTTATTTAATTACCATGTTGTTCTCTGAGTTCATCCATGCTGAAGCATGCATCAGAATTTCCTTTTTAAGTCTGAATAATTGTATGTATACACCACATTTTGTTTATTCATCTGTCGATGGACATTTGGCTTGTTTCCACATTTTAGCTGTTGTGAATAATGCTGCTATTGAACATCGGTACAAAACTATCTGTTTGAGTTTTCTGCTTTCAGTTATTTTGGATATATATCCAGAAGGAAATTATGATTTTAAAAATCTTTAATATATCAAGTGTAAAAGATTATAAAGAGCATGATTCTCTTTTCTGGGGGAGAGACGTATGCACATAATAAAAGGTCTGGAAGAACATAGTTAGAATTTGGGGCTCTTTATTTTCTCTCTGACTTTTCTATTGTAAGGAATTTATACAAATACACAGTTTGAATTAAATAGAGGGCCCCACCACTTTCAGATGAATGAACAAAGTGATCTGGCAGTAGCCTTTCTCTAATGCTTTACCTCTGGGTTGTGAGAATGATGATTTCAGAAATATCCCTAGAGACGTAAAGCACCATGAAATTCAGTTTAATTACTTGTATGTGTCTCAGAAAGAATCACTGCTTTTATATCACAGAGAAGGGAAAATGACAGCTCAACAGAAAGAACTTGGCTTGAGCTTAGTCTCTTCTTTGATCGCAAGCACATGTTCTTTAGGTAGAAATAACCAGTTCAAGAATATTTCCTTTATTCTTGACTTTGTTCAACATCTCAGTGCAGATGCCAAAAGCGAATGAAGGCTTTCTTATGAAGACATCACTCCATAATCAAGTACTTAGAGCGAGCTTGCCATTAGCTGACAGATGCAGTGCTAATGCGGCAACCCTTTGAACAAAATCTTTTGCTTTGAAAGCTTAACAAGAAGTTGTTATCTTTTTAATTTCATAACAAATTGAAGAATACAAATTACCTTCTTTCTACAAATATTTAGTACTAAAATAGAAAAAAAATCAACAGTAGTGGAAATACCTTTATGCAGTTACTCAAAGCCACTGGACTTCTCTTAAGATGTGAATGTCTGGTTCCCTCCTTAAGATTTGCTTTCTTCATGAAGTCTTCTTTCATTTTGCTTCACTCGCATATAAGCATTTTACTTATATTTATAGGCAGGCTTAAAATATTAATCATTTTTAGAGATTTCTTTATGTAAGGACTAACATTTTGTTGATGTTCATTTATCCTCTTGCTAGTTAAAAACCTTGACGTTCTCAACGACATACACTTTTTAATTTGGTGCATTTTTATGGCCACATTCGGTAGTCTTGCCATATCAATCTTTTGCAAATATTAGTCTTCAGTCTAATAGGATCTATCAAATATATTTTGTGACAAACACCATTCTTTGCAAGAATTCATTAATATATATTTCTGTTATAGAGTAAAACTTTATCCTTAATATGAAAACAGTTCTCTACTTTTATTTTTTATTGTCATCTTTCCTTTTTTTTTTTTTACCCAACTCCCTTTTACTAAAAAAAAGAAGAGGTAATGAAAAAGGACTTTTAAAAAACAACATTTTTAACACATACCAGTGGGTAAGCAAAGTGATACAGAGAAGAGGGCTCAGGCCTTGGAATCCAGCAGAACTAGGTAGCGTTTCTGCCTGACCACTTCTAAACTCCATGGCTTAATATTTCCATGCTTCAGTTTCCTGATCAGTAAACTTGAGAAAATCCTCCCTATCTTAAAGAGTTGTCAGAACTGGAAATATTAAGCCTGGTGGGTCAAGTATAATGCTTTATACCTAGGAAGTGCTTAGTATTCTGAGCCAGCTAAAATTATTGTTTATTTTCACCATTTGGTGTTAATCCCAGTTTTTCAAATGTCATCTGTGCTCTGTTGAATTTTTTGTTAGAGATACACTCTTCCCCTTTGTAGGAAGAGTATATATTGCCACCCGCTGGCACCAGGTTTTGGTGTGTGCCTGGATTGATTATCAGCAGTTTAAGAGCCCTGTTTTGGTTATGCTATGTGTACTTTTCCTTGGCTAATTCCCAGAGAAAGCTGCTTCTTCAAGCTAGATCCCAGAGGGAAAGCAGTATGGGGCAGAACTAAACCAAAAATGCAGGAACATGGCGTGAACAGCATTTCAAACCATGGAGTTTTCTGCCATTTAATACTGTGGCACACTTACCCAAAAATGCATCATCTTCAGCCAAAATGGATGGTTTCAATATTTTAACAACTATATGTATTTTTAAAATCAAATTTGAATCTTAAAAAAATGTGATAGAATGATAAAAATATATATGAAAAATCAACACCAAGGAACTAGAGAATACAAATATGCCAATAAATAAGGAAGAACATGGTTGGTATAATTGAGATTCAAGCTTTTTAGTAGTTGCATGAAAAAAAGATCATATACTACTTCTTCAGAGAAAACTGAACTCTCCCTAGCAATAAATGAAAGGACCCTAAGTAGGCATCAAGGAAAGCTAAGTAGGCATCACTGTCAATATTTTATAAAGTGGTTAATTCCAAAAATGTTAAAATGCAATGCAATTCACTCATTCAATGTGGCCTAAGAATGTAGTAGCTTTTTGATCATATGGTTTTTATCAAAGAGGAGAATAGATTGTCTTTATCTTCTGCATACTGCTGTATTTATCACAGTCCAGATAAGAAATAGATGTACTCTTCCTTCATTCAGCAAGTATTTTGTAATCACCTGCAATGAGTCAGGCTGTCTGATGATTCAGGCTCTATAGATTCAGTGCTCAACATTACTGACAAGTTCCCTGCTCTCAAGAGGCCTATATCCTTTTGGGGAAGATAGATGACAAAATCTCAGGTTGTTATAAATTCTGTAATAGATAAAAACTATTTGGACTGTTCATCCCCCCCCCACTTGTGTTATACTAATATGTGATTTTCAAGATTCTTTTTATTTCACTTAAATTGCCATATTTATTGTCATAAAGTTGTTTTGAATATTCCTTTTACTTCTTTCTAAATGCCAGTAAGACCTTCAATTTGTATTTTCTCTCTTGTTCTCTCACTTCACTCTCTCAGTCTGCTGCCTATGAGTTTATTAATCTTACTAATTTTCTTGTAGAACTAACTTTTGGCAATGCTAAAAGTTAGCACATCTGGTGCACATCTGCTTTGGTGCACATCTGCTTTCTAGTTCATTGATTTCTGCTCTGTACTATGTCCTTCTTTCCATTCTGTTTGAAGCTAATATGCCATTATACAGTGTGTTTGTGTGTGTGTGTGTGTGTGTGTGTGTGTGAACACCTTTATCATGAAATTATAAAGTATTTTTTTCTACATAACCTTGTGTCATCAAATAGTCATTTATGAGGTATTTAATCCTTATATCGTCCTCATTCTGATTGTTTTAAAAATAAAGGTTTTATTTTGTGTTTGTCTTAGGTAGTTTCTATTAGTCACTAGGGCATTTATTTTACTTTTCTTCTTCTCCATGTACCCAAATGAAATGATATTGAATATTGTTGCCTATTGAATGATGTATGTGGGGGAAAAACCTAGAATGGAAGTGTTACCTTGAAAATACAATGGATATGCAAGCACTGACGTCTTTTACAATGCTGAAGTGTTTTTCAAAGGTTGATATTTAGTTTCATGCATATTCAGAAAAGGCTCCTTATTCTTTTGGAGTTAAAATTAGTATGCACTGGCACCATCTTCGTTTTTCTTAACTTCTTAGTACAATAAACGTTCTTTATTTCATTTCTATACCACTCTTATGGAACTGATTGTTTTAGTATGTTACCCAGATGATCCTCCTCATTGCTCTGTGTATTTTTAAAGCTTTTTATAAGACCACTTTTAAAAATATGTGCACAGTTCTCATTTTAAAATTTCCACTGTGTATACATGCAACACATACACACTCTCACATTTCTGGTAAACTATTGAAGACTGGGCTGCTATGGTTAAGGTAGGTAAGTGTTCTATTATAATGGAGCCGAGGGTGAGAATATGCAGTCACTTAAGCAATAAATCTTAATAGCCCATTTAATTCTGGGTGAAGGCCAGTAGTATATTTTTACTTACTCAGGCATTGGAGTTATGCAAACAGAAGCTATTGCACACCAAGAGTTTCATAATTGAGAAAGTAAACTTGTACATTTGTTGTTGTTGTTTTATAGGTTCAAAAAGGCATTTGAAAGTGAGCCTACACTACAGTCAGGAATTAATTATGCAGTTCTTCTTCTGGCAGCTGGACACCAGTTTGAATCTTCCTTTGAGCTCCGGAAAGTTGGTAATTACAGCTTGATATTTTACATGGAAATCCATAAACTGGAGCCAATGTTATACAAAGAAAAAGAATCATTGGTAGATGTACTTTTGTTTTCTATCTCATATGACTTCCTGAAAAAAAATTTTTTTTATTATATTTCCCTGTTTAATGTTTCCAATATGGTGCAGAATCCTGATATTGTGACTTAAATCAATTTTCAGTTTATTTTACCTGTTACAAAAACACCCTGGTTAATATTTATTGTTTCAGCGCAAACTAACATAGAAAATATAGGTTCCATTTTTGATAGAATTTTTTTAACTCTGTGATATGTAATGGGAGAGAGTCAGAATTATAGGTTTTGGTCTCTATCAGTAATGATGATGTAATAAAAGAACAATGTGATTGGAATTGAGACAAATCACTATTTGAAACTCATTTTCAAGGAGTAATAAAAGTAAAATTTGTATTACTGAATATTAAAATCTGTGAATCTATAAAGATAATCAAGAAAAAGAAATCAAATCAAAATTCATCACCAAGCACAAATCAATTTGTTACCTGTGGAGGTGACCAACTTCTCAGAAAATTGGATATCATAGGAGAAAAAAATTAAGTGCTTTTCATTTCTTTTAAAGACATTGAAAAAGCTCATCTTAAAGCATGCTACATACTATTTTGTTCAGAAGAATGTATTCTTCAAAAGGCTGCTAGCTAATAGCATAGAAAGCTTGATAAAACTGATAGTGATGTTGAAATAATGATTCTGGCCAGGGTCAATGAAAATGTTTATCTGTAAAAAATAATTGTTTGCCATATTTACATGGTACCAAAGCGCACTCACAGATTGCTTGTTAGTCACAAAGCAACAAACGTACCTGTACATCCCTTCAGGGACTAGGCTGTCAGTGGTCCAACTAGCATTTTAGTGGGATGGCTCCACACGGGTCTCCTAATGTGGTGAATATGGAGCAAACAGCATCTGCTGTGAAACAGCCTCACCAAAAATGTTTAGCCCGTTAATAGGAATCACAGTGTCTAGAAAAATAAATCAGACATCACCATGAAACGCCATCAGACATATGCATAATGTAAGGGCGTTCTATAATACAGTCCTCCTTGTCTCTTTAAAAACTCAGTGTCGGGGAAATGTGTGGTTGGAGTAATTACTGAGATTTAGCAACATAATAAACAAATGCCATTAATGATTCTTGATTGGATTCTGGTTTAAAAAAGCTATAGGAGATATTTGAAAAACAATTAGAAAATTTGACTTAGGACCTGATACTGCATAATATTAAGGGATCATTATTTTCGTTAGGTGCAATAATTGAACAGAATTTTTTAGGTGTATGCTGCAACACTTAAGGGTGAAATATCATGATGTCTGTAATTTAATTTGAAATATTGCAACAAAAATATTCAGGATATGAAGCAAGGGCAAAATGTTAGCAATAATTGAAAGTATGGCCATTCATTGTTACATTTTTTTTTCCTCTTTTCATGTATATTTGAAATTCTCTGTAATGGAAAATTGAAATGGAAAGAATTTAATTGCCACTATTTATGGAAGCTGAATGACCTTAGACAAGTTGTTAAAGGTCTCTGAGCTCTTTTTTCCTTACTGCAGAAAAGAGAAAATCTAATTCATTGTATGACTGTATGAATTAAGAGTTACATTTCCCATCCAAGTACTAACCAGGCCCGACCCTGCTTAGCTTCCGAGATCAGACGAGATCGGGCGCGTTCAGGGTGGTATGGCCGTAGACTAGAGTTACATTTCCAACATGCTTTGCACAGTGCTAAGCATCTAATGAGTGTTCAGTAAAGGCTCTGTCTCCTACCTTTCTCCATTAAAGCAGCCTTGACTCTAATAGTGGCTCCAAGTTGTAAATCTATCATAAAACTAAACTATTTTTAAAAATCTTCAATTCTTATAAGCCAACCACTTCTAATTAGAGCATTTCTATTTAAATTATCTAAACATACAATTGAATCAAAGAATTGATATTTGAAACAGTAGTGGCATACTGTTTGCTGTGTATAAATTTAGCCAGAGTTTTTTTAAGGTGAGATAGCCAGCTGGTAAGGAGAGGTAAAAAGGTATAAAAGGGTACATCAATAATAGTGCTTTAGCTATTGGACCTGAGGATCAAGACCCTTAAAAATATTGTAGCCTAGCACTAAATACAACGTTACTTCTGAGACTTGTTCCTATGGAAATGGCCTCTAAATATGGGGGGTTGGGTATGTTATATATACAATAAATATGCATGTAATGTACAATAAAGAGATGCTCATTTTCAATTGAGGTTGGTAGAGACATGTTTTTCCCATCTCATTTTTCTCAGCCACTTTCTTCTTTCATTTGTATTCATTATATTTTATATTATGTTCAGAAAGGAGACCATGGATGATGTTCCATATACATGTATAATTTTTTTTTATCTCATAAATTTTTAAATTGACAAAGCTATTTTCTTTTTAACTTATCCTAAACTGTGAAGAGTGGACTTCTTCCTGAAATAGTCGTGGCTTAAGTGGAATTATATAATAAAAAGTAGCATATGCCGAAACCTGTTTGGATCAATGGATAGAGCTTTGGCCTGCGGACTGAAAGGTCCCAGATTTGATTCTGGTCAAGGGCACACATGTTGGTTGTGGGCACATCCCCAGTAGGGAGTGTGCAAGAGGCAGCTTATCGATGATTCTCTCTCATCGATGTTTCTAACTCTCTCTCTCTCTCTCCCTTCCTCTCTGTAAAAAAATCAATAAAATATATTTTTTAAAAGTAGCATAATGTCTTTTAAAGATTACTTTGTTTTGTTAAAGTATAATTTTCAAAAAATATACATTTATAATCAGAATCTATAAAATGGACACATGTAAGACATTTTTGTTAACTCAAGTTGATACTGAAACTAGTAGGAAAATGTGTCCAGTTCAAAGAGTATTTAAGAAGTAGGGTATTTATAGATCATTTAACAAAGAAATATTACAGATCATTTAACAAAGATGATTTCTGAGTCTGATTTTTAAAAAATTGGTTTATGTTCAAGAGGTCTAATCTTAGAGATTATCTATTGTATTAGATAGAAGTTATTTGCATCTCTATTGAACAAAAACTCTATTGAACAGAAATTATTTGCATTTCTATTGAACAAAAAAACTTTCGAGTCTGATAATTTTCTTGACAAAGAAATGGATGTTAGTGGCACTAAACAATTCTTCAAGGATATATTTTTCTTAAGCAAAATAATTACAAATGCAAAAATAATATAAAACAGAGTAGAGATGAAAATTTTAATGAAATGCAAGGAATCTAGAAGGATCAAGACATTGTAAAAAAAAAAAAAAGAAAGTTGTAGGGTTTGGATTACTTGATTTCAGTGTTGTTACATTAATCAAGAGAAAGTTTTTTTCTGTCAGCTTTCTTATTTTTAACTCTGTCGTGTATAATTCCTTTTGCATATAATGTTATTGTAGCATTTTACTCTTACAAAAGAGATATACTGTACACATTTATACTTCAACTAACTGATAGAATGTTAGCATATTTCCCTTTCAAGTAACTAAAGAATCTGTGGTATCATTAGGGAATGAAGGAGTTTATAACTCGACACGACACGTGGTGTTAGCATCTTCTAATTTTTGCATATACAGACACACATAAAAATTCTTGAATGATGTACATCTAAGTGACAGCGGCCGTTGCCTTTGAGTTTTTAAGTTAATGGGTTAGTTTCTCTTCCTTCTGTGTACCTTTATGATTAATCTGCCATTTTTACAATGAACTGAAATCCATTTCATAATCTGAAACAGAACAAAGCTATTTTAATCAGAAAGGAAGAATGAAAGCTTCATTTTGTTTTTTAATAAAACATCAGCTCTGCTTACCTGCTGTGTGTTAGTAATGTTGTATTTCCTGTCCCTCTTCTAGGGGTGAAGCTTAGCAGCCTTCTTGGTAAAAAGGGAAACTTGGAAAAACTCCAGAGCTACTGGGAAGTTGGATTTTTTCTGGGGGCCAGTGTCCTGGCCAATGACCACTTGAGAGTCATTCAAGCATCTGAAAAGCTTTTTAAACTGAAGACACCCGCATGGTAATAAACTGTTATGTGTTTATACAATTGTTTTTCATCAACAGCTCCTATCGCTTCTTTCCAAATTGTTATATTTTTTTGAACATACAATTAGATTATTTTATTTGCTTATAGAATAAAAGGCAGAATATAGAGAAAAAAAGTGATGTCTATAAGTAAAATGTTGTTGGATATAGGATCTGATGATTTTGGACACAAGTGATGTCTGCTGGCTACCGGCTTAGCCTTTCTCTCACATTGACCAATCCACTAACCCAGTGCTACCCGCATAAATCATGCAGGAGCCTCAAACTTTACACCCACAAATCTAATCAGCAGGTTTACAGTTTCCATCTCAGCCTCCCAGGACTCTGCTCCAAATACATGCGCTTTGTTTCCTTAATGATCTAATCTCAGTTTGGGAATTACCATTCTTTTTACTTAGGGTTTACTGACATGTATTGGTGTTTCCTCTCTCTCTCTCTCTCTCTCTCTCTCTCTCTCTCTCTCTCTCTCTCTCTCTCTCTCTCTCTCTCTCTCTCTTTCTCTCTCTCTCTGTGTTTTTCTAATTTCAAATTGTCTCTCTCTGTGTTTTTCTAATTTCAAATTGTTCTTGGCATGCACCCAAGTCTTATCATTATGTAAGTGATGATTGGAAAGATGAAAAATAAAATTCCATCTGCATTTAGGACTGTTTTTGAAAACAGCACTAATTTTATTATGCATCACATGTAATGATTGATCACTAGCAATAAAGACTTTTAAAGGTTAACAATGATACCGAGAAAGGCTTAGAGCAACTCTGAGCCTTGGGCACTGACTTGTTTTCCTCAGAGGAAACATTTGAGGAGATGACCACCCTGTTACATCCTCATACCTTCCTAAGGGATTTTCTCATTTTCAGCAAATCCTCCCCAGCATCACTCCCATTGTGATCTTTCTGACCTTCCCCCTCCACTGACATCCTTAAGTCAATATCATTCAATGGTGCCTCAGCTTAAGGGATCAAGTCCATCTCCTTGGCTTGGCAAACAAGGTTTGCCCTTAGTCATTCCAGCCTCAGTGTTTGTTACGCTGCTGTCCATTCACACCAAACATGCCATACCGCTTGAGAATGCCTCTTGCAGTGCCCTTCTCCACCTGGGGACACTGGTAAATCCCATCTGCTCAAAATCAGACCCTGACCTATAACTCTTCCCCTCTTCCAGATACAAGTTCATGGATATCATTGACACACGTGATTATTTCATCTCATGAAATTTTCTTCTTTCGATATTGTTAGTCATGTCTGTTTAGTATGAGCTTTCTTGATATTGATTGCATGGTGCTGTAATACCTTTTATCTTCTGTCTCCTTAGTACTGTGCACAATGGAGAACAGACTTATACTGTTAGTAGTATGTTCACAGAGGGCATTCAGCAAATGACATGAAATACACAAACTAATAGATGCATGCGTTAAATGTAGCCAAATTTGTTATTTCTTTATAATAATCATTCTGTTGGTAGAGGAGGTCAAGACTGAAGCACAAGTTCAAAGAGATTTGGTTTTAGGTATCCTGGCTTCTGTTGACAAGAAAACAAACATTGTTTTATTCAATAGTAATCACCATGAGACAGTGCCTTAAATTCCGGTTACGTTAGAGTTAGCTTTCATGTTTATAGTTTACAGTGTGTGCTTGCATACCCATTATCTCATTATAATTACCTTACTTCTCATTTTGGAGGTACCAGCTGTCTTATCAGATTTGGGGATTTTCGTGTAATATATAAGCTGAGTTGCTACAGGTAAAATAATGATCACTTATGAAGGGTCTACTTAGAAAAACTTTCTTAAGGAAGTATATTTTAAAATAAATGCATTCACCACTTCCTTGAATAGGATATAGGCATTATTTTAAAAGTCATGTTTAAATAGATGTATCACACAGTCCAAGTTACTTAAACCCTCTAAGCCTCAGTTTCTTCATCTTTAAAATGTGTATAAACCAGCCTGTTTTGCCATGAAATTTGGAGATTTCTTTTCATAAGTTGTAAAGTGCACTTTCCCCAAAAAAAATATTGTCTCTTAGTTCAGTAAGTCAAGACAACTCTTCAGACCAGACAGATGGGTACTTCTAATTCATTTTTGTGAAATTTAAATGAGATAATGTGTGACAGTCCATGACATATCATATATGATGGGTGTTTGTTGAATCTGAATGCATAATTTTTAATGTCATATTTACATTTATAGAGTAAGACTGGAATACATGGGAACAGGTGGTTCTAAATTTGCCTCGTGTGTTTTATATCTTTTAATGTTTAGGTACCTCAAGTCTATTGTAGAGACAATTTTGATATATAAACATTTTGTGAAATTGACTACAGAGCAGCCTGTGGCTATACAGGAACGTGTGGACTTCTGGATGGACTTCCTGGTCGAAGCCACAAAGACAGATGTTACTGTAGTTAGGTTTCCAGTGAGTACAAACGCTAATGATAGTTCTATCTTGTTTCTTCCATTTAAAGTTTATCTTGCATTGTGGTTGTAACAGTTCTATATGCTGATTTTTATACCCTAAAACAACAGTTATATGGTTAATACATTTATTTTCTGCACACTGGTTTGCTTTAGCTTACTTTTTAAAATAACTTCTCAAATGCAGAGACATTAGATACATTTTTATATTTTGCCATGAAATTTGGATGTTTCTTTGCATAAGTTGTAAAGTGCACTTTCCCAAGAAAATATTGTCTCTTAGTTCAGCAAGTCAAGACATCTCTTCAGACCAGACAGATGGGTAATTTTGTTCCGACTCCAGCTTTGTTGACATTGTCATCAATATCAGTTGCCATTATTGTGGTGAAAATGTCAGGCTTACCTGCGCTGTTATTCCATCTCCGGCACCCATTATCCACATGAGTCAGAGTTAGATGTAGTATCCACAATCACTACAATGCTTTAGAAGATCATGGGAAATGCAACTAATTTTGGCTAGTCTCTATCAAAATTTATATATATATAATGGACACACAAACACTTTAAAAGATATATTGCTCGTCTTCTCAGCCAGTGCCATCCCCACCCTGATAGCTCTCAGAATACCATCTAAAGCAATATGTAGCTTTAGCATCCAATGCAAGAATTTATGGCGATTCACTGTGTGCATAAATCTCTTCGCACATCAAAGGGATGCCATACCTCTCTCTGTTAGAGCTCCTAGTCTCAATCTCCCACACCCAGAGGTGGTGACAACACAGTTCTTTTCACAAAATCTTGTTCTGTAGTTCTTGTTGATAGCATCATCTGTTTGATTTAATTAAATCAGTTGCCGGCATTAACAGGCTTTCTTTGCTCTTGTTTTCAGATGAAGCTTTAAACGCAGCAGGAGCTTTAGTTGAAAAGCCTTTCATACTAAAACACTTAACTTTATTTTCTAGCCTAGATTATGCGTAGCTAGGAAAGCACTTATCTCAGAGCGAGCTGGCAGCTTGCCTTGAGCTGGTGCGCTGATGCAGTAAATGTGGTGGTGAGAGAAGACAGCACAGACCTAAGTATTTAATTATTGACTATTTACTTGATCTACTAGAAAATTAGCTGTGAGAGGAAAGCACTCATATTAGCTGTTCTGATCTGATTTAAATTAGCTTAATATGAATCAGTCTGTCATAATGTGAATGTAAAAAATAAAACCAGAAAATATGAAGAGAGAAGTTAGTAGAATATAAGTGTGTAAGTCCAAGTGAGAGAGGTCTTCTTAAGCCAAAAACAGGACCTGTAAACCTGAAAGGTAAATATTGACCAATTTGATTTCATTAAAAATTCAAATTTTTGTTCAGTATGAAACACCATAAACATGGCAAATGCGAGACAGGGAAACAATACTTAATACTAATGTTGCAAAATGATCAATTTCCCTAATATGCAAAAAACCTCAGCCAATTCCTAATTTATACACAAAAGAAATACGGGCAAATCATGTGAAGAGAAACTTTACCTGTTAACTGAGCGGGACGTATAAATACGTCAAACGAAAACCGTATCGGGAATGGGTAGGACGTATGTTGCGCCCTGAGAGGGACGGTATATATTTTTTGTAATCTTTTTAATTGTTTGTAAAATTTATAATTTTTTAATTCTGTTTCCATTTTTTTGGTTGGTATTCTTTTCTATTTTTTTTGTAATTTTGTATTTTCCTTTGTGCTTTATATATAAATAAACGAATATATATATATCATTTATTTTAATTAAGTATAAATAAAAATAATAATAATATGAAATTACTTCCTCCGGGCATGACGTACTGACACGTCCTAGTGAAAGAGTACATGCCCATTACAAGTTGCGTAATTAAAAAGGGAACTCCCCGGTTAACAGGTTAATATAACTGAGTAGTCAAATAAAGGGGGGAAAATGAGACACCATTATACCTATGCTGTGTTGCACATGTGCAGCTATATCTGTAGGACAACTTCCCAGAAGTGGAATAGATTAATATTCATGCTGCCCTCCCATAGGGATTGTATCATTTGACATACCCACCATCAACATATTTGCTTTCCCAAAGTCTCTCCAAAAAGTGTATTGTCAGAGATAAACTTCTGCTAAATTCATAGATGAAAAATGGTATGTTGGGGTAGTTTTAATTAGTGTTTCTCTTATTACGTGCAAGGATGTGCATATGTGTAAGATCATGTGTTTAAAAGACCACTCAGTGTTTTTTAAAAAAAAGAAGGATTTGTTGCCACCATTTAAAAATAAAGAATTGAGCCGAAACCGGTTTGGCTCAGTGGTAGAGCGTCGGTCTGTGGACTGAAAGGTCCCAGGTTCGATTCCGGTAGTGGGTGTGCAGGAGGCAGCTGGTCGATGTTTCTCTCTTATCGGTGTTTCTAGCTCTCTCTCTCCCTTCCTCTCTGTAAAAAAATCAATAAAATATATTAAAAATAAAGAGTTGAAAAAAATAAAATAAAAAAAGAGTTGGATCTTCAGTACTGTACTTCCTATGATGGAGTAAATGATATTGGTATTGCTAAAAAATACCTATGAAATCTGGACAAAATGCACAAAACAGTTACTTGGAGGCATGAAACAGCTATTATCACAGTACTACAATCCTTGGAATTGAGTCCCACTTTCATCCATTAGTTTTCCCCTCCAGGGTCATTTTTCTGGCTGCAACCCAAAGAGGTGGAGCCTGGTTGGGAATGACATTCTCACTGGGCAGAGCAGACACGTATCAGTGTTTAGGGCTCTAGGGCAGCTGAATATGAGGGGCAGGCAAAGTTGGAAAAGAGGGATCCTTGAAGAATGAAACCCAGGATTCTGCCTGGCTATTTCAGATAGTGTGAAAAAGGGTAAGCATGTTGTCAATAAACACAACCATAAATCAGTCTTTGACTAAAATTGGGTTTTGGATGAGACTCATATGGTGTAAATAAACCTTATAAAGGTAAGTTCTCTTGCTATTTAAGAAATCCTGACCTGAAGTGGCAGAGAACATCCTTTGGAAGGCTGAAAGCTGAGGAGATACTCCAGAGCTTAAACCATGCAGGGATAAGCGGTTGGACTTTGGGCCAAGCTAGAGTGATGAGACGTTGGTGAACTCCCCCAGTCCTTAGTTGATGCATAGAAACCCAAGCCCTAGGAGTAACTGCAAAACTAAAATGGACCACCCTAACAAAACCAGAATAAAAATAAGGCCTGATAGGATCAAGTTGATACAATGATATTTAACTGCTAACTAGGAAAAAAAATCTCTGGAAAGATATAATTCAAAATATCTGCAGTGTCATTCAGATTTAATCAAAGATTACTAATTATGTTAAGAAACAGGAAAAAGTAATTGATAATGAAGAGCTAAGACAGCCAATAGAGGCAGATCCGGCGGTGATTCACATACTGGAAATACCAGATAAGGACTTTAAATAACATAATGAGCCGAAACTGTCTTGGCTCAGTGGATAGAGCATCGGCCTGCGGACTGAAAGGTCCCAGGTTCGATTCCAGTCAAGGGCATGTACTTTGGTTGCGGGCACATCCCCAGTAGGGGGTGTGCAAGAGGCAGCTGATCGATGATTCTCTTTCATTGATGTTTCTAGCTCTCTATCCCTCTCTCTTCCTCTCTGTGAAAAATCAATAAAATATATTTAAAAAATAATAATAATAAATAAATAAATAACATAATGATCATGTTAATTAAAGAAGAGGAAAAGATAGACAAAATGGTGAAAAGTGGAATATTTCAACTGAAAAATAAAGTTTATTAAAAATTCAAGTGGAAAATCAGGAGAATTCACATAAAACTCCAGACTTTAAACCGCTCTTTAAAAAAATGAAAGGGGCCTGGCCAGTATCGCTCAGTGGTTGAGTGCCAACCCTTGAACCATATGCCCTGACTGTTCAATTCCCAGTCAAGGCATATGCTTGAGTTGCATACTCAATCCCCAGTACGGCATGCAGGACACAGCCAATCAATATATCTTGCTCATCAATGTTTTTATCTTTCTATCCCTCTCCTTTACTCTCTCTCTAAAATCAATAAAAACATTTTATTAAATAAAAGGGAATCTTAATAAATTAATTAATTAAAAAATGAAATGGACTGGCAGTTTTTGACTGCATACTTTAAAAGCAACAATCTACAGAGCCAGCTGGCTGCTCCTATTTAAGATGTTGAATATAGTCCCATTCATCCTGCTTTTCTCATTTACCTGTCCCACCAGGCCCACTCTCTGCAATCATGGTTTCCTACCCAGGTTCCACTGCATAGAAAAAGGCAAGCTTCTGTTTCCTGTGGGACCATATCAGTCATTGTGTCTTGTCATTTCCTTAGAGTAGCATTTTCTGTGGCTCACACTTATTAAGGCTGCAGTAGGTCTTGATTGAGGTGACAACATTATCCTTATTTTGAAGTGGATCTTTCTAAGATCAGTATGAGACTTATATTAGTAAGCAATTTAATTTGTGTCCATTTATCTCACTACTATATTCGTCTCATTCCTCCAAGAAAAACCATGACCCTGAGCAACAGAAAGCAGGTGTTAAGTTCTTTTGGGAAATGATTTTAATGGTTCCATCATTTATTATTAATTAGGTTCAGTTCAATTTATTTTTTTCTCTCACCTCTCTTCTATGTATATTTTCTTTAATTCCTACATTAAAAAGTTAGGTGATCATCAACTCATCAACTAATGTCAGGAGAGAGGAAGTGGAGCATGATAAATTCAGTTAAATGTCTACTTTTTATAGGTTATTGGCCTTGCTGTCTTTCTTCCCACTTCAGATACATAAATAAAGTTAGCAGTTGGCTGTAGTGTTAACCAGTATAAAAGACTAGAAACTAAAAGCGAAAATGTGTATACTATGGACTGAGTTCAATTATGATGGTTTTATCAAATTGCTTCTTTTTTGCGGGGGAGGGTTCTTTTCTCAACTTTTCTGTGACCTCCAAAATGTATGTTACAAATCCCTCATATTTTGTCATTTCCAGGGCTTAACAAATGTTAGATGATGATAATTGCAACCAGTGTTTTTTCCCTATCCCAAGGCAGGAACACATAATTCAGATTTTATTTGTTAGAAATATGTGAGACACTAAACACAACTTAAGAAGACAGAATAGAACCTAGTGCTGTGCTTTTCTAAATGTTAAATAATGTGCCCATGTAATTAGGGAATGAGGTATGTGCTCATTTGTCAGTGCAGTGACTTGGATGCTATTTGGGGATGGGAACCCAGCTTTTATTCCATATTATTCCTTTCATTTCACAAGCACTAGGACTCTCAGATTGGAGAGCACTATTTCTGTAAAGCTTAGATTGAAAATTTATTTTCATTATTAACCAGTACTACTTACCTCTGTTGATTGGAATTTGGACTTTGATTTACCTGGTATGCTCCTGAGTCATATTATAGGTTTTATCCCCTTCTGGGCTCTTACTCTGTTTATTTATAATATATTCTATCTTATTTTCATAACTAGAGCCTGACAAAGAATTCTTTATGCCTTTACAATTTTATAGTAAAGCATAAAGAAAATTCTGTTTTTCTAATCTCTTTTCTCTAGTTCCCTGTACTTTAACTTAAATTCTGTTATGCTAAGTTTATTGTAAAGTAAGTACAGTGGGTTTGCGGTGTATGGCTGAGTTAATTTCTGACCCAGATTTTTGTCTAGGCTGCCCTTTAGGTTAGAATGTATTGTGAATTCCTTTTTGATAGAGCCTTTTGCAGGATTTTTCCTTCATTTTTCCTTGGGAAACCTTGCTTGAAACAAGATCGTTTCTAAAAAGGCAATTATTTTGAATTTTAAGCAGTGGAGCAGAAAGAACTATTCCAGTTTCTCTACTAGTTAAGCAGTTAGCTTTATTTTTTATTATTTTTAACATTCCTACTTAAGTCTGCATAGGAAAATTGAGCTAAGCAGGTGCCTTTGAACATTTGAGCACCTTTTAAATAAGGGCCTGTGTAGTTTTTAATGCTATTTGCTCCTAAAATGAAATATTAGTAATAATATAATACATCATGCACTCCTTCCATGGAGATTTTCAATTCACTTATCACATACCTCTCATAGAGCTCCAAAACAAGAGCAAGTTTATTTTTCTCTTTTTTTATCACAAGGTTATAAATACATTATTATTAAAGACCAGAGGCCCATTGCATGATATTCGAGCAAGAATAAGCCTTCCTTTCCCTGGCTTCACTCCCAGCTGCCTGGGAGCCGGCAAGTCCGCACTATCTGGCCAGCATGTCCCCGCTCCCTGGCCGCCTGGGAGCTGGCACCTCCTTGCTCCTGGGCCTCCCCAAGCCTGCAAGCCCTCTCTTCTGTCTGGAGCACCACTAGTTCCCTCTGCTTCCCCCTTTCCCCTCATAGTAGGCTTCACTCCACTCAGCACCCACATATGCAAATTAACCTCAATCTTTGTTGGGTTGATTTGCATATTCACTCTGATTGGCTGTTGGCATACTGGAGTGATGGTTAATTTGCATGTTTCTCTTTTATTAGGTAAGGTTTCAGTTGTATCATGAAGTCAATGTGAACATGTTTATTTCATACAGCTATATCCATTTCTTTGATTTATATGTATACTCTTTCAATAATAACCAAAATAATTTCTCAATCGATTTATATGGGTATAAAAACTGTAAATCTTGATCATAGATATGTCAGCAGAAAACCTAACGTATGCAACATTCTATATATGGAGTCTTTTCCTTTCCTTGTACAGAATTATTTGTTTTATCACATTGCTGCCTTTCTTTGGCACATTTACATTTGTAGAAATGAAGTATGTATTGCCTGATAAATTAAAAACTTTTAAAAAGTACTATTAGTAAATTGATTGGGGATAGCCAAAAAAATATATGGTCTTCAGAAATTTATTTCCAAGTTTTTTAGCAATAAAAGGTGATGTATTATTTTGCAACTTATGATAGTTGTATAATACCATAAAATAGTCAGAAGACTCATAAAATGGCAATAGTCAAAGCTTTAAATGGTTTATTTTAGCGGTGGACCCAGAACTTCATCCAATAACCAGTGCCTTGTCATTATGTCAGCTCTACATGGTTTGAATTCTAAGTCCCTAATATTAATTTATTTTGTTTTATGTTTTCAAGGTATTAATATTAGAACCAACCAAAATCTATCAGCCTTCATATTTGTCTATCAACAATGAAGTTGAGGAAAAGACAATATCTATTTGGCATGTGCTTCCTGATGACGAGGTAAATTGTGCAATTATTAAGATGAGTATTACTAGCGAAGGACTTACCCTTTCAGCAATTATATGTTCCAGAAAAATTTGCATTAATTAAGAAGAAATAGCTTGATTATATTATAAAATGTATTTATGCTAGGGGAGGGGCTGCTGGTTGAATCAACCACCATTGGCCAGTGATTTAATCAATCATGACTGTAATGGAGCCTCTGTAAAAACCCATAAGGACATGGTTCAGAGAGCTTCCAGACTGGGGAACACATGGAGATGTGGGCAGAGTGGCAGCCTAGAGAGGGCACGGGAACTCCATGACCTGTCCCACATGCCTTACCCTATTCATCTCTTCCATCTGGCTGTTCCTGAGTGATATTCTTTTAGACTAATCCAATAATCTAGTAAATAAGATGTTTTCCTGCGTTCAGTAATCTGCTCTAGCAAATTAATCAAACCCAGAGAAGGAATTATTGAAAATTCAGATCTATAGCTGCCATGATGGCATCATTCCAAGTGTAACTGACCAGAAACGAAGTTAATACTAACTAGTAAAACTGTTTACATGTTGATAACACTGTTTTTAAAGTGTCCATTGTTTTATTCACATTATTTTAAAGTATATGGATATATATCATATAGCAGTAGAGTAGTGACTCAGCTGAAACCACAAAAACTAAAAGAAGTTAGGAGAGGTAAGCATGATTATCTGGAAGAGGAGATTTTTCAAAGGCTTGATTGGAAAGAGCAAGGTTGTCCAAGGACACTTGGAAACAGAATGGAGCTAAAGGAATTAGCAATTAGCAAGGCCCCGGAAAATGAGTGGAGAGCCAGAAGTACTTGAAAGACACAAAAAGAATAGAAAGATTTTTGGGAAATGAGTACTATTTCTAGCTTGTGGTCATTATTTTTCCTTTCTGGAGGTTCTTCATTCAGTAAAGTTAGTCTTGTATTGATTCGCTTATGTTTTGCAACTATTGTAGAGACAGTTTTTATGTTATGCTAAGAACTAAACATAATAGGGTAGAAGTTAATGCATGAAGGCTTAAAGATTTTATTGTCAATTGTCTTTTCTTATCTTTTGATCAAGAAGAATTTCTGCATTTGCATATTGCTCATTTCCTGTTACCTCTAGTGCTAAAAATTCTTCTTGTTCAAAAATGTAAGCTTTCTTAAGTCAGTTTCTGTTTTGAATCTGCCAATTTCTTTGCAAACCCTAGTTTTATCCATTCATTAGCACTGCCATTTTCTCTGTTTTTAAAAACAGAAGTGCTACAACTGAAATGAGGACAAGCAATAGAAATAAGATCACTTTGTTATTATTGTTAGTTTAAAACAATTGTAATAACTATAAATAATAGATAGCAACAGGTTTAATACATCTTATGTTAAGCAGGAAATGGATTGTTTTTGTCATGGAATGTTCAAAAAATTTTTTCTAGAAGTAGAATAACAGAGAATGTTGCTTTTCATCTATCATATTTATTTTGTTACTTCCTCTCTCGGTGTTTTGATTCTAACTCTGGAATGAAGTTACATGAGCTAGTATTTAACCTCATTTTGCAACTTTAAAAACTTTAAGATCATTACCCGAATTCCCAAGAGTTCAGGGACTCTCAGAGAGTTACTCTACATTCAGAGGCAAAATTAATTGAAATCCCAATCTTTTAATTGTTCTCCCTTTGTTCAATAGATGGTTACTGCTTAAGTAAATAAGTTAGTACTTGAAGTTAGTACTTGAAGAAAGTCTGCACATGACCATGAAAGAAAAACCTAGATTGAGGAAGAGAAGTTTTTTGCAAGATATTTTAAATTCTTGTTATTTAGAATTCCCCCCTTTCTCCCCCCCCCTCCCCCCCCCAGTTTGGGTTTGAGGATTAAGCACTCCCATCCTCTCTGATGGCTTCTCAGACAACAGGGACCCAATGGAGTAGGATGTGCTGACCTAACTCCAGCTCCAGCTCCAGCCATGGCCATTCTGAGAAGACCTGGAATTTAGGAGGGGAATATGTTTACCTAGGAGTATAGATTTTGATAATATGATGTTCTCATCCCTCAAAGATACTTTTAACTATAAAACCCCCAACTAAAAGTGGGTTAAGTAATAAGGAAATGTTATCTCATATTACAAGAACTTCTGAGGTGGGTTCATTCTGGGGCTGATTTTAGTGGCTTGACGAGGTCAGAATTCTCAGTTGGCTTTTCTGCATGCTCTTGGTTTCTCACTCATGGTCTTAAATAGCATCTCTAGCATCACTTGACACAGACAAAATCCAAAGAAGGAGGGTCAGGCTCTGTCCTTATGCAAAAAGTTACATCCGATGACCATGCCTAAACCAACCACCAGCAAGGGAAATGGACTTACCGTGGCTGATGTAGACTAATCAGTTTCACTGTCCCTAAGCATTGTCACCTGAGCCTGCACGAATCCATATTTTGTTAGCAAAGAAGAGAGGGAAGGGCCATTGCCTAGGGTACCAATAATGACTCACAGAATATAATTGCTGCCACCTTACCTCAGTATTAATTCCTGGTTCCTGTTCTTGCCCTAGCTGTGGCATGGGATCTGAGGCCAAGCAGTTCCTAGAAAATAGGGCTTGTGCTGATTAAATAAGATTGAGTGTTGGTTTGGGCCTTGTTGGTATTAAATAGCACTCCAGCTCTCCCTCTGGTGTCCCTTTCCCTCTGGTTCCCAGACTGGCCCAGGAGCCTTTTACCTCACCTGTTTGGCTCTGTGACTCACCAGCGCCTCCTTGTGGAGAGTCCACTAGCAAGGGAAGTGGAGAGAGGCCTTATTCCAGATCCCTTCATCTCCCTCTTTACTCCACTGAAAGGAAAAGTTCCCTGGCAGCACTTGGATCTTTCAGGAGCCTAACATTCTGAAATGCTGTGTTCCTTTCCTCTAAATCCAGCCCAATCAACCTGGGAAATCTCTCCGTGGCTGCTCCCAGAGCAGGGCTGATGGAAGATAGGTTTACCAGTGCCGTCTTGTTGGTGTTCGTCAGTTGCTGTGTTCAATTGCAGGTTGCAGGCTGCCTATCAGCTCTGCACTCAACCCCGCCTCCTGATCCTGGGGTGGCCTTAGAACGAAACCGAGGTGCAGGCTGTTTGTCTAAGGCTGCGTGCAAGTGGTGTGCAGGTTAACAGCTGCAGCTCCTGGGTTGCATATACTTATAGGTCATCTGTGGCCAATGGGATTTAGAAGCAATTTCCACATTACCAGCTGGAGCTGCAGTCTGCTATTTTATTTTATCTCCCCGTGCACTCTGGTTAAGAGAACCACATTCCAGGAGTCCCTTTCTGTGGCCTCTGCCTTTTCTGGGCTTTGTGCACAGCAACATCTGCTCTGTGGTAATTCAGACCACATCCCTGTGACCTGATTGATGTGCACTGAAACTAGTTTTTTTAGTAAATCTACTTCAGGCTTGACAGTCTATTTTTATTTTTAAGTTACACGAACCTAGCAAATAACTAGTTGTTGAAGAAAACTTTGGTTCTTGACCCAACAACCTTTTCGTGCTGACACCTCAGCATGACAGAAAGCATCTCTCAGATGACAACATGACAAAAAGTGTCTCTAGGCGACAAAGAAGAAAATGCCCAAATATGAGTCAGTCTTTCACTAAACCTTGCATTGTTAACATCTCAGGAAATTGTGCTGTGAATATTTTCCTGATTTTTTTGCTTTTGTTGCTGGCAAAATAGACATCACAATTTTTAAGATTCTTGGCCATCAAGAGGGCTGATGTTGCTAAGGGTGTGAAAGTGCTCACAAAACAACCATCACAGGCAATTGAAGTGGTAGAAAAATTGTTGTTGATTTGGATAATCAACAGAAGAAATGGTATGTGAAAACGTGAGGATTCTGTACGCGGACCTCCTGGAACAAGTGCTAAAAGTGATTCATGTGAGGCTAGTAGTGGATGGTCTGATAAATTTAAGAAAAAAGTGTTTTATTTACAGATTAAACAGTGCATTAGACATGCACTGTATACAAGTAAAGGTTAAAATAGAATATTTGGAGTCTGGACTGGATTAATTCAATTTACATTATTCCTAATGGGAAAAATGATTTGGTTTTTAAATAAATCATTCCAAAAGCAGGCTTCCAGACTGAATTAAGTTCAAGAACTAAGGTTCCACTGTAATTTGTTTGTGAAGAATTATACATGAGGAAAAAATTATTCTGTGTATCTTATTTTAAAAGGATAAAACAAAAGTACTCTTGGGATTACTGAACATTTTTTGTTCTTTCCTTATATTCTAGAACGGTATACATGAGTGGAACTTCAGTGCTTCTTCCATTAGGGGAGTGAGGTAAGTCTCCTTGGTATATTTCATTTTCTTGGAAGACATTTTTTCTAGAATATGACTGTCTTGAATAGAACTTCTAGTCATGATTTAAAAATACAAAGAACTTGCCAAAACCAGTTTGGCTAAGTGGTCTGTGGACTGCAAGGTCCCAGGTTCGATTCCGGTTAAGGGCATGTACCTTGGTTGCGGGCACATCCCCGGTAGGGGGTGTGCAGGAGGCAGCTGGTTGATGTTTCTCTCTCATCGATGTTTCTAGCTCTCTATCCCTCTCTCTTCCTCTCTGTGGAAAATCAATAAAATATATATTTTTTTAAAAAGTACAAAGAACTCAGCAACCCTTCTATTAATGAAATACTCAACCTTCTTTAGACTCACTATCTCCATTACTAAAAGATTTGCAACAAAAACTTTCATGTTACTTAAACTAACTCTGTGCTTGTCACTAACTTAAAATATGATGACTGAGGGGTCTGTGGGTCAGAATCAGGTTTTAGGTAAAAGTGAGCTATGTGAGTTCTTTCTAGGTGGTCTAAGTTTATGTTATAGGATGGTTTTCTGGTCTTTAGGTATACCAGAAACTAATCTCTCCTTAATGGATCCAAAACATCTACCAGATTGTGTCCCATAGCTCATACTAATAGGGGGTGTTATAGGGAATTCATTTTTCAAAAAGCTTTTTCTGAGGTTACCATCAATGAAATGTTCTGAGATTAGAGTGACTCACTTCACTTTGGCTCAGTTCTGACATTGCATCATAATGCCATTGGCTCAGGAAATGCCATTTCCTGGGATTTAGAAATGAGGTTATTTTGGTTTTGGTTTTGTTTGTGTTTTTTTTTTGTTTGTTTTTTTCAGAATAAAGAGCCACTAATTGAAGGTTTAAATGCTTGTTCTATAGAAACTCATGCTAGACCAACTCTTGTGAATTTTACACCAAATTAGTTGTGATTACTACTTTTTCTCTCCACATAATAGAAATTGGTAGTGGTGGGGAGGGGAGGATTATCCAAAGGCCACATATGCAATACCCTGTTGCTTTTGGCATAATAGTAATTGGTTTTGCTGGAACATGAACTGGTAATTGGAGTTTGCCTAGTAACACCACCTGTTACCTTATGAATGATCTGAAGAGAAACATGCAAGATTGAGGATTGACTCATTATATATCTTTCCAATACATGCCTTCTCAAGTAAAGCTTTATACTCTTAATACTTAATTTTTAAAACAGGTCATTAGTAAAACACTCATTTTTATAGTTCATTTTTAAGCAATTCACTAAGTATGGTAAACATTCCTTTCACTTTATCATATCTACTTTCCCATGAATTCATTTTCTTTAAGCATGGCATCTCTACATAACCTTTGCTGTGGTTTACACATAAACACAAAATGCTTACATGAGGCTACTGCTGGTTTATATATTGTTCCAGTGTGTGACTTCAAAGAGAGCTAACTCTTCTGGATTTTCTCCTCTATAAAGAGATGACAAGTTATAGAAGAAAATCCAGCTACTTCAGCAGTTTATCTTACATCACCTTAGAACTTTCTCAGTTCAGTCAATGGGCATTTATTGAGAACCAGCTGGTGTTAAATGTTGAGTTCTATTCCATAAGAATATAAAAAACTAAGACCTCAACTCTGCTCTCTAAGAGCTGTAGGTCCAGCAGGAGAACAGACACTTCACAACTGGTGATAATTCAGAGTGAGATGAGCAATGATAGAACTATATTCAAAGAAAAGAGGTGCAAAAGGAAGTCTTTCTGTGTAAGATAGAAGTAAGGAAGGGAGTAAGGTCTAAGCTTGGTCTTAAATAATGAGTAGAATTACTTTTAAAAGTAAAAAATAATGTGCATTCTAAACTTGAAAGAACAGCAGATGCAAAGGCATAAAATAGGGATTAGCAAACTCCACCCCCAGGCCAAATATGGCCCACCACCTGTTTTTATAAATAAAGTTTTATTGGCCGGGACCGGTTTGGCTCAATGGATAGAGCATCGGCTTGGGGACTGAAGGGTCCCAGGTTCAATTCCGGTCAAGGGCATGTACCTTGGTTGCGGGCATATCCCCAGTAGGGGGTGTGCAGGAGGCAGCTGATCGATGACTCTCTCTCATCGATGTTTCTAGCTCTCTATCTCTCTCCCTTTCTCTCTGTATAAAAATCAATAAAAATATTTTTTTTAAATAAATAAATAAAATAAAATAAAGTTTTATTGGAACTCAGCCTTGTTCATTGTGTGTTGTCTAAGTCTGCTCCAACAGCAGAACTGAGTAATTTGTCCCACAAAACCTGAAATATTTACTCTCTGGCCCATTACAGAATACATTTGCCCACCCTTGGTATAAAACAGCATGGCCTGACCCATAATCTCAAAACTGTTCTAATTGTTGTGAAGTAAGCCACTTGCTTAGTCCAAATCAAGTGATGTTCCATAGTTGCTTCCTTCCTATAAAATCTCTACAGCTAAGGAGGCTCTTTTTCTGCCTCCGCACATTGCCCTTCTAGCTTTGGAAGCATTTTGTTGTTCTGCAGATCTCAGAAAACCGAGCCCCAAGGTCAGTCAGCCAGTGGACACTTAGGCTTGTCCTCCCGGCACAGGTCAGTGCTGCAGAAGGCAGGACACCTTTCTCACACTGAGGTGGAGGGACACAGCTTCTGTGTGCACACCAAACCCTAGAGCAACTCTGTCTATAGACATGAGGAGGAAGACAATTCTCAGAAAATTCAATAATTTTAGTATTGTGGTACAGGAAATACTGCTCTTTAAAGTACTATTTTTAAATTTTAAGGCATGTGTGTTTCTCTATGGGAAATGAATCAAAACTTGAAACGTAAAGTACTATTTTTAACTTTTTGTCATAAACAACATTGATTTTATAATTGGGACCAGATTTTTTTAAAGTATTTATTTTTCATGACAGTTCCTGAAGTATTGGGATGTCCCTGAATAATTCTCTCCGTTTGTTTCAGTATTTCTAAGTTTGAAGAACGATGCTGTTTTCTTTATGTGCTTCACAATTCTGATGATTTCCAAATCTATTTCTGTACCGAACTTCATTGTAAAAGGTGCGTATTAGTCATGGGTTTGTGTAAGAAAGTTTGTGCTTGCATGATCATTATTTTTAATTAATGAGTGAACATATAGCTTCTGAAAATTATTCATGGCTATGTAAATATTTCATTTGGGCTAATATTTTATAATTATGTGGTATGTTTATCAGAATTTTGGGGACTCCCTCTAATAAATTACTTTATTTCTGACATTTCTGATCACCAACAAACTATTCTCTGTGACACCAGCTGAGTATCCTACAGTTTAACTCATTTCTACCAAGATCTGTCTGGAGATAGTGCCTGATCCCCAGGTTAAAGGCTCAGTCCCGGGAGACTTTCTGCCCCCACGGTAGATGCCAGTCGCAAGCCCAGGTGATCTCACCTGAGCTTCTGACCAACTGGCTGGAGGTCAGAGGTTCTAATGGTCCCTGCTTGTGTTTGATTAGTTTGCTAGAGTGGAACACGGAACTCAGGGAAATATTTATGTTTACCAGTTTAATGGAAGGATATGATACCGGGAACAGATGAATAGCTAGATGAAAAGATACATAGGGCAAGGTCCAGGAGGGTCCCAAAGCCTAGGAACATCTGTCCCCATGGAGTTACAGTGTGTTAGCTTCCTGGCAGCAATGTATTTGCTAGTCTGGAAGCTCCTTGTACGCTATACTATTGGAGTTTCATGGAGGCTTTATCACATAGACATGATCAATCATTATTTTTAGCCCCTGTCTCCCTCTATGGAGGATGGAAGGTGAAGCTGAGAATCCAAGATCCTCATTATGGCTTGTTCTTTCTGTGACCTGCCCCCATCCAGGTGCCCATGCAAAGTCTTTATAAAACAGAAGATGCTATTTTTCTTATCACTTAGGGGTTGCTCAATGGTTTCAGGAGCCCTATGCCAGGGATGAGGATCAAAGACCAAATATTAGAACAAGAGATGCCTGCAGTGTTCTTACTTCTTAGAAAACTACAAGGGTTTTAAGAGCTCTATGCCAGGAACTGGGAGCAGACCAATATGTATTTTCTGTTATCTCATTGGAACAGAGATAGAAGAAAGGTTCTATCTGGTAGGTAACCTGTTCTTCCTTTGGGCTGGCAGTGCGCAGCTCGACCTGCCCGTGAGAGAATCAGCTCTCAGTACCTGTTCATAGAGCCTCCCTTACTGTATGTCTGCAGACCATTCGCATCCCCTTGGAACGGATAGCACAGTTAGTGTTCCAATGGGCAAATCTGTTTCTCGCTTGTCATTATTTTTCTTGGCTCTGAGTTGGCCTCCAAAAATAAGAAGAATTCCTGAAGAAAATGTCACCAATAGAGAAGTAGCTTCTGTCACAAGCATATAAGCTCACCTGCTCCTGGTTCATATTAGTGTTTTGCAGGCTCTATTTATGGGGCTGTGTGTGTATAATATTGAGGTGCTCAGGCAGAAGATTTGAGTCACTGAGATCAAATGTTGTAGTGGCCAACACTGCATCAAATAGCCACTTCAGAATTTAGAGACACTATTCTAGAATATGGGTATTATTTTATGCCCCATTTAAATAAAATATCAACAGCAGCAAAACAATAAGAGCTCATTTTAATGAGTGCACTATGCTAAGTAAGCACTTTACAGGTGTATTTCAAATCATCTTCACAACAACCTAAGAGACTGATAAGTATATTCCCCACTTTATAATTAAGGGATGAGTCTCAAAGTTGGAGGAGCTTAATCATACAAATACCAGCAATCTTGGTCTGATATCCAAGTCCACTTTCCTAACCTTGTCATTTCTATAACCTTGTCTAACCTCACTGTTCTAATTCTATACTAGATATATATTACTCTGTATATGAAGTGGGGCATGAGGTTGAAATTTTCTGGAAGAGCCTACCAACTTGTGTTTTCTTTTTGAAAAATCATATTTTTCACTCTGACACTGATGGTTTGTTTATTGCCTGACATTCTTAGCTCCTATTTTTTTTTTTTTTTTTTTTTTTTTTTGCTCTGAAATCACTTGGAACATACTTGTTTCATGCACTATGAGTGACCACATTCCAATTGTCATCCCACTTGAAATAGGTTTTTTGAAATGGTGAACACCATTACCGAAGAGAAGGGGAGAGGCGTGGAGGAAGGAGACTGTGAAGGTGACTCCCTGGAGGTAATGCCTGAGGTTTCCATGTTAATTTTACAAAGTTTCTCCATGACTGGTTTTAAAAAGTGAACTATTTTAAGTTTTACTGAGGAAGGGAGAGTGTTGTGAGGGAGGGGCATATGGCTTCCATCCTTTGCATCCCATCGAAAAATTTCAGATTTGTGAGGTAGAATGTCTTATGCAGTATTCCCAGCGATCTGGATAATCTATACAGAAAATTCACACATACTTGTCTAAGCATTTTGGCTTGGTTTGCCATCATGTCACAACTCTTGAGGTTGCTGGCATTCTCTTCGTGGGTGTTCCATCAGCATAACGTTAGTGAAAGGTCCCTGAGATGCTCTGGGCTGTGAAGACCATGAGCTCTGCCTGGGCCCTCCCGCTCACTCAGTGCCCTTCATGGCCAGAGCATCTTCACCATATGCGTCAGTAAACAGCCTTAATTTATATTTTTTCACAATTTATAAAATTTCATTATACCTTTTATTACATTTCTTAGATGTTTTCAACCTTCTTAATTAAAATTTTTTTTCAGTATTCTAAATATTTTGTTAAAATGAATTAATTTCATTACTGTAAACTGAACTCAAACTTCAGCCTGTAAATAACATACCAAAAATAATTCCTCCACTTCCCATTCCTTACACTGTAAACAGGAAAGATGACTTTGCTGATTAAGATTTTTATGCTGAATAATTGTTATCTGATCTTTACTTCAATTTGAGATAGATTTCAAATTATTTCAATATAATTCCTTAAAGACTTTTAGGTCCCTGGGCCAAAACACAATTAAAATGTTAGAAAGTCAGACATTTTTTTATGTTTTTAACTTAGATTGGTGTCAGCACTCAGCAGATATTAGCTATTTATGTGGTCCTGTAAGCCACAAATTTGAAACTAATCCTTAGAATTTTTGATGTTTGAAAACTTTTCATTCAAAACCCAAGTTAATATTTGCTTTTATTTCTGATTTGAACAGTAAGCTTTCTTTGAAGCAGTCCCATTGTGGGAGAGATTTAGCCTCTTTGGGTCATGGTCAGAGCCTCCTCTGAGTGTCTCTGGCTCTCGTGAGATCCCCATGCTAGAGACAGGAGCCCTGAGTTCTGGTTTTAACTTTGCCAACAGCCAGTTCTATTACTTTGGACAAAATTTATACTCCCACTGGGCTAAGATGATCTCATTCCTTAAATGAGAGTTGAATAAGAAGATCAAAAATAGCCTTTCTTAGCTCAAGTATTTTATAATTTTCAAGATTAGTACAAACTGTACAAGGTTTTTCAAATATAGCTCAATATCACTTGGGGAGGACTTTTCTATTTTAAACAGAAAGAGAAACAACTTCGTTTGATTCCAAGCAGTTTTTTGACTCAAGGCTGTATTTTGACATGGAAGGGTGATGAACCCATATTGTAAATAATTTATTGTATTGGTAAGTTTATATTGAAATCACATGGTACCAGGTATCCAAGCAGAAGTACAGTCAGAAGGCTTTAAAAAGTTTGAAGCTGGGGGTGGGTATGACAAAACCAGAGTTGTTTAAACAGTATCTCAAACTGAGAGGAGGGGGCTATGTATTGAAAGGGGCAGAATAAATGCTGATAAATTGGTTGAAGGTTGTTTAATCAATGTTAAATCAATGAAAGAATGAATACCATAATCCGGCCATTATCAACCCATTCTCTTTTCATCTCCTTTTCTTACTTCCTTGAGAGGGAAAAAATGACTGAGGTACTTCTGGTGCCCAATACAAAATATGTTGTGTCTCCCTCTTCAGTCCTCTCCCAAACACATAGATATATTCTCCTTCCACCTGTCCCTCCTCTCTCTTTCCCCCACTCCTTTCTCCTCTCTTTTTCCCCCACCATCCTTCTTTTTCTGCATTTTTACTTCACTGTTTTATCAAAATGAGCTTATGATTGAAACAAGCCTGAGACATAGCAGCTAGCCCTGTGCACCTGTTTATACATTGTGTGCATAAAGGGAAATGCGACACCTTTTGGGATGGAGTGGGGACAAGCAAGATAAAAGGAAGGTTTTTCCTTTGACTCAGACATCTGCAGGATGATGAAATACCTTACCATCTCCTTTCCTGATGATTTGCCTCGCAAACAGTGAATTATAGTTTACAATTCATTTAAATCAATTTGGAATCATCAAGTTTCTTTAGCATCCTTTTTCTATTTTTGTTCATATCTAAAGCTCAATACCCAGTTACCACTCTGTCTGATAAAATATGTCCCTTAGAGTGTTGTATAATATGAGTTTCAATTTGTTATTCATTCATCCTGTTGGCAGAAGGAAAGTTTTTCCTCTACCAATTTAGGTTTACTGATGGGGACCTGCAAATTAACTGACAAAAGACACATTAACAGGAGAAAAGAAAAAGTTTATTCGTGTATGTGGGAACATACAAAGAAGTGGCTCCTGAGCAGCTAGAGTTAAGAATTTATTTATTTTACCAATAAAAATCCTTAATAGGACTTCAAAGGGAAGAAAGCACATGGCGGGAAACCAAGTAGAAGCAAGTGGAAGGTACAGAAACTTTTGGAAAGGTTTTGCCTTTGTCATTTCTCATCCAGGGAGGAGTGGTCCTAACCTCCCAGAGAAAGGTGATGGCAGCTGTATTTTCAAGAGGCTTTGCTTAAGTCAGCACAAGGCGTTTTGATAAGGGTCTTTCTGCAGCTCTACTTATTTAGATGCTTTCATTCAGCTTAAAGTCATTGTCATACCACATTTGTGAGTCCAAGTGTATCTCATCAATTCACTCAAATATTTATTGGACACCTACCATGTGGTAGGCACTGTTCTAGGTGCAGAGGAAAATCCCTCACTGAGCTTACATTCTAGTGTAACACGAATAGGTAAAACTTGTCGTATGTTTGGAGAAAAAACAAGGAAGGAATTAGGCAGTGACAATGTAATGGGGTGTGCAGGCTTAAAATATATATTTTATTGATAGAGAGAGGAAGAGAGAGGGATAGAGAGTTAGAAACATCGATGAGAGAGAATCATTGATCAGCTGCCTCTTGCACACCCCCTACTGGAGATGTGCCCGCAACCAAGGCACATGCCCTTGACCAGAATCGAACCCGGGACCTTTCAGTCCACAGGCTGACGCTCTATCCACTGAGCCAAACTGGTTTCGGGCAGGGTGTGCAGGTTTAGACAAGGTAGCAAGGGAAGGCTCCCTGGCAAGGTGATAGTTGAGTAAAGATCTGAGGGAGGAGAGATCAATCAAACCTGATATGTGTACCTGCAGCATTTTTAGCATTCTGTTGATATTATTAATAGTTATTTCTGTTTTTCATATCTCTTTATTAAGAAGGCGATACTGAAAATTAACAAAGATACTATTTGGGTCTTTGAGGTGACCACAACGTTAATGTGATTAAGCACAGAGGGAAGTGCATGGTTTTTTTCCGAAGGTTGCTTTACTGTCTGTGGGCCCTTTGGCCATGCAAGGACTACGTGAATCACCACTTTGCCATTTGCCTTCCTAGGCTGATTCTCTTTCCAGCTCCAGTTTACATTGGTCTGGGCGGGCAACAATAGAGGGATGATTCCAGAAGTATTCCCATGGTTGCTTCAAAATGCAGCCGTTTCCCTTAGCAACAACCCGATTTGCTAGCCTATTGCCATAGAAATAAAATGCAAAATACATAAGCAGTGTAATTCTACCTCTTTTTTTTTTTTTTAAACACTCCTTTCCCCCCTGCTCCTCTTTTTCTCCATTTTTGTCAGTTAACATACCCTGACTTTTCTTGGGTTTTGTCCCAGCTCTGTTCTACTTTTTCTGACCACCGTGTAGATCATTCTCTGTCCTTTATGGGCCAGGCAAACTAGTAAGACCTCAAATTTTTCTTCTTACCCAAAGCCTTCCAGTGGCTTTATTCTCCTGGTAGAGTGTGACATGCTTTAATAGCACCAGAAGCTGAAAAACAAAAGGAAGATTAGTTTGATGTGATAGGTATTGATACTAATCATGCTAATCTCTAGAGTCAGTGAAAAACAGGATTTAGTGGGTAAAAGAATCCAAGTGGGCTTTTTGAAAAAACTCTTATGGATTTAAATACATAGTCCCCACTGTATTTGTACCAGCTGTGAAAACATGAGCACACAATCTGGTTTATATTGCGAATGTCTATTTTTTGGTTCTTAAAGCTGCTTTTTCTGAATTTCATCTTATTGTTTCCCTTGTATAGCCATCTGCTAAAATAAGGGAAAATGCTCTTGGAAAAAAGTTGATGTTCGGAATGTAGACTGCAACTAATGTTTCAATATTCTCTCTCCGCTTTTCCTTTTGTAGTATGACTATGAATATGACGAAAATGGTGACAGAGTCGTTTTAGGAAAAGGCACGTATGGAATAGTCTACGCAGGTCGAGACCTGAGCAACCAAGTCAGGATCGCCATTAAGGAAATCCCAGAGAGAGATAGCAGGTATAGTAATTGTAGTTAATAAAGAGCTGTTACCTGAGGTGTTTGGGGTTGTGCATAGAGCCTTTTAGAGAATGTTTTGGTGAAACTGTCTGAGAACTCTGTGATTTTAATGAGCTCCCTGTGAGGGTGAGCTGCTGCATCCTTCAGTGATTCAGTAACAAGACTGGTGGGAGTAAGGACAGCATCTCTGAGGTAACCGGGACAGGACTCTTAAAGAATGGGGAAAAGAATGGCCCTGTGTGTGTTGGGCCTGGGTTATGTCAGAGAGTGGTGGTTTGTAATGGGGGTACGTGGGGAACCAGCACTACCTGAAGTTGTTCTAAGCAGAGGTTCCAGTATCCAGGGCAGTGGTTAAAGGAGGTTGGAAGTCGTCACACCATCTTAACCACAGATAGAAAGCCAAACACACGGAGAAACAGGCAGCTCTTCTTAAGGGTTCATTGTCAGTATTAATGTCAAATTTGCTGGCTTATAAATGTAAGAAATCAGGGGCTTTTTTTTAATGACTAACTCAAACCATTCTGTGTGTTGAGTCATCAGACAAGTAAGATCACAGGACAAGCCGCTGCCCCCCAGATTGGAGAGACGGTCACAGAGGAGACCCACAGTGTTGTGAGTTTTGCCTTCAGGAGCACCACTCAGTCCTCACAGTGCATGCAGAAGAAAATCCCCTCATACTCCTGAGAGGGGTTGTGGGGGAAGGAATCATTTTGAAATACACCAGAGCATTCTGTTCTTAGCAAGGCCTGCCCTCAGGAGAAAGCATTTTTTTTTTTTTACCAGGGCCTCGCCTATTGGGGTGTTATCAGAGTCTAACCAACCTGGGAGAAGGGAAATGCCCAACTCCAGCCCTTTCTAGCCATCCTGGCCCACCCAAAGGGTTTGGGGTGGACTGAGAAGACTGGTGCAGTTCACAGCCCAGTGGCACAGGCTCATTAAAAGACTAGATAGAGCTTCCCCTCTGAGAGTTCCTTTATCTGTTATACCATGCCTGGCTTTCAACAAAAATTGCAAAGCATACTAAAGCACAGTTTGGAGAGACAGAGCCAGGATCAGAACCGTCTCAGATATGGCCATGATGTTGGAATAATCAGACCAGGAATGTAAAAACAGTTAGGATGAATATGCTAAGAGCTCTCCTGGATAAAGTAGGCAGCATGTAAGAACAGGTGGCAATGCCAGCAGAGAGGTGCAAATCCTAAGAGAGAGCCAAATAGACATACTAGCAATAAATCAGTCACAGAAATGAAGAATGCATTTGATGGGGTGGTTGCCTACCTCAATCTCTATGCTTGAGGCTATGTCAGTAGAATATTCCAAAACTGAAAAGCTAGGACTGAAAAAGACAAGACAGAATACCCAAGACTGTGGGACAACTACAAGAGTTGTAACACACACCTTCCTAGTGGGAATAACAGAAGGAAAAGAGAGAGAAAAGAACAGGAGAAGTTTTTGAAGGAATGGTATGAACCGCACATAGTGGGGACTTTTTTGGAAACAAGGAAGTTGTTCAGGGGAGAAACAGCTCTGGTAATAGGATTTTCTGTTGTTCCTGGCTGTAGTGTTACGATTGGCTTTTCCAACCACTAATTATCTCTTCTCCCAATCTCATGATTTCTGCTGCCCTGGTGGCTTTTGTTGTGTCTTCTCTCCATAAGATACTGCTCCTACAAAAACTGTATACATTTTTCAGGTGTTGTACATTGATTGAGTCTAGTGTTACTAAAGTCCTTATTTGGCCAGACTTGAATGCCAGGCTGCATCATGGGCTTTCTTGAGTCCACTTTTCTGTGACCATGGTGGTAGGGTCACATGTCCAGTTTTCTTTAGAAAGGACACTCTCCTAAGCTTCCTGAATCATCTTTCTTCCCAACCTCTCCACTTGTAAGTCTAAAAGGCACTTCCAGGTTAAGATGGTCAAAACTGAACCATGGGTTTTTACCAAACCCAAATGTACTCTACTTTAAGTATTCTATGTCTCAGTTAAGATTATCCCATCTACACCTAGGATTCGTTTGGATTCCTCTCTCTCACTTGGTATCAATTCCATCAGCAAGTTGTACTTTTGTCTCAACCTCTGCAGTCTATTCTGAATTTTTCCACTCCCATCACAACTCTAAGCCTCCAGGTCTCTCATTCAGACTCCCTACCGCAAGTACTTTGTAACTAGGCTCTGCTTTCATTGTTTCCTCCACCCCAACTCCATCCCTCCTCAGAGAAGCCAGAGAGATCTTTCTGAAGTTGAAATCACATCTTGTCACTACCACTTAAAACCCTTCAATTGTGCACTAGCTGGTTTGGCCGAGTGGATAGAGCATCTGCCTACAGACTGAAAGGTCCTGGGTTTAATTTCGGTCAAGGCATATGCCCAGGTTGCGGGCTCGATCCCCAGTAGGGGGCATGCAGAAGGCAGCTGATCAGTGATTCTCTCTCATCATTGATATTTCTGTCTCTCTCTCTCCCTCTCCCTTTCTCTCTGAAACTAATATTTTTTAAAAAAGAAAAAAATCATTTCCAAACTCTTAAAAAAATAAACACCTTTCAGTTGTAACTATCATAAAACCAGAACCTTCAGCATAGGCATCTGCCTCCCTCTGTGGCCTCACCTGCTCCACTAGAGCCACACTGACTTCTCCCTACCCATCAAGCACACCAAAGTTCATTCCCCAAAACTCAGCAGGATTGCCTCATTTTATCATTTAGTTCTCAATTCAAATTCTAAGCTTTCTCTAACTACCCCAGGCTGAAAAAGACACATGAAACCTGTGTTCCAGCTCCCACATCTCTTCCTGCTTCTCCATCTTTAGGATGTGACTAGCAAAGGTGACCTCTCTGACTCCAGCCTCCAGATCCACATTCCAGGCAGGAAGAAGAAAAAGGAAGATAAACTTTTCCAGATATATTCAGCATACTTTTACCAAAACTACCACCCCGTCCTATAAGAGAGGCTTAGGAACTCAATAGCTTTTTGGCTGACCAAACAAAATAATAGAAAGAGGAAGAACAGATGCTCGCTAGGCACACAGCTGTTGCTGTCTGCCATGTGTGGTTTCATGTTTTCTATATTGTTGCAGTTTCCTCTTTGACATATATTTATGAATTCTTAAAATGTTGTAGAACTTATTCATTAAATACCTAGAATATTATGTGTCAATTTGTCATATTAATTTTTGTGTTAAATATTCCTAATGGTTCCTAAGTAATATATGCATAGAGTATATTTTGAAATAATAAGGGATTGTCACTATCAAATTGCTACAGCAAACTCACTGATCTTTAGCAACTTCCCCTCTCCTTCAACCCCACAGATGAATATACTAGTAAGTAGGTACTTGGAAGGAAGCCACTTTTAAAATCATCTTTGTAACGTAAGTTTATTCAACTGCCACTGTGCACATAGAGCGCACCAACAGCAGCAAGGCCGTGTTTTGTAACAGTGCATTGGGCGAAATGTGGGATGTTCAGAACATGCATGATAGGCCCTTCTCTCTAGTACCTGGTACAGGGCTTCTGCTTGATATCAATAAAAGAAGATTACAGCCCTAACCGGTTTGGCTCAGTGGATAGATCATCAGCCTGCAGACTGAAGGGTCCCAGGTTCGATTCCGATCAAGGGCATGTACCTTGTTTTCGGGCATATCCCCAATTGGGGGCATGCAGGAGGCAGCTGATCAGTATTTATCTCACCTATGTGTCTAACTCTCTATACCTCTCCTCTCCCTTCCTCTCTGTAAAAAAAAAAAAAATCAATAAAATATATTTTTTAAAAAGAAGATTACAATAAAGACTATCATGTTACTGCGAGATGCAACACACAAGGGTGTTTCCATCTTTGTGCCCTGGAGAGGTTTTGATGTTGCATTTTAAAATATTGCAGTTAGGATAATTACTGAAGTAGTAGGATGGGTGTGAATAATGCATGATCCAGCACACACTAAACATTGCCATCTGCAATGAAGGATCATAGCAACAAAGAATATTCTGTGTGTTTCCTTCACACTCTATAAACACTTTGTTAGAGAATCAGAGTGTAGTAAGAGTGAGATAGAGGAAGTACACTGTTATAGTCATAGCTAGTTGTTAGTCTCAAGTTGGCTTCTTCCTCTAACAGTCTAGACACCCCTGAGCTATTTATTTAGATCAGTTATTCTCTCCCCAGCTGTACAGTAGAGCTAATTGGGGAACTTGTAAAAATACTGATACTCGGTCCTACCATAAGACCCGAGTATCATAGGCCCAACCCAAAAATTCTGGGTTGGGCCTATGATATTTTTTAAGGTCTTCCAAGGGACACAAATGTCCATCCAATGTGGGAACCACTGGTTCAGATGGCTGTTGTGGAATTAGACTCAGAGTAGGTGCTCTGGAGAAAATATTCTATATAATAAAAGGCTAATGTGCAAATAGACCCAACAGCGGAACGACTGGTCGCTATGATGTACACTGACCACCAAGTGGCAGACACTCAACGCAGGAGCTGCCCTCTGGTGGTCAGTGTGCTCCCACATGGGGAGTGCTGCTCAGCCAGAAGCTGGGCTCAAAGCTGGCAAGTGCAGCAGTGGGGATGGAAGCCTCTCCTGTCTCGGTGGCAGTGCTAAGGCTATATGGGGGAGAGCGGGCCTAGGCCATCAGTCAGACATCCATTGAGGGCTCCTGGACTGCAAGAGAGTGCAGGCCAGGCTGAGTGATCCTCCCATCCTGAATTCACAAATTTTGTGCACCAGGCCTCTAGTAGATTAATAACTTTTCAAAGCAGAATTTATGTAAGCATCTCTGATCTTTATCATTTCTTCTTTCCATTGTTACAGCTAACTGAAAAGAAATAGGATTTCCTTATAATTTCCTCATAGATAAGCATAGCTTACTGACCTAAACAAATTATAATTTCTACTCATACAGCACCTGAAGGCACTTATACTTTCACTTACACTTAGTAAGAATTGCTAGGTGTTAATAGTCATTTTCACATTGGAGAAAAGCTCTTATTCCTAACTAGGATGAATCCTGATTAGTGTAATTTTTGAGCTATCCTTTGGTTACCTAATGAGGAGGTAAGAGGGTAGCATATATTTGTTTCTCCAGGAAATTACATTTAAGCAATCATAATTGATTTTCTTTCTTTTTTTAAATATATTTTATTGATTTTTTTACAGAGAGGAAGAGAGAGGGATAGAGAGTTAGAAACATCGATGAGAGAGAATCATCAATCAGTTGCCTCCTGCATGCCCCCCACTGGGGATGTGCCGGCAACCAAGGTACATGCCCCTGACCGGAATCGAACCTGGGACCTTTTAGTCCGCAGGCCAATGCTCTATCCACTGAGCCACACCAATTTTTTGCTCATAATTGATTTTTAATAGAGGGTGAGGAGATGGGAAACCTTTGGTTCATCACAAACTGAGTTAGTCACTTGATTAAGGTCATATAGTCATCTTGATAAACCTGTACAATAAGGTCAATATTTGCCACTAATTTCATGCATATCAAGAGCAATCTTATTAACTAGTGTAATTAAAGTGATTTACATCCCATGGAAAAAGTGACTTGCAAATGTCTTCATAGTTTAGAGTCATTACCTAAGCATCTTATTGGTAACATTTTTTACTGGTATTTCTTGTGTTAGCTCACTCAAGCAATTATTTAAATAGTGGTTTTCTTCACTGATATCCTGTTAAAGGGCTCAAGTTAATAGCTGCTTTTATAGTTCCTAGAGCTATTATAAAGGATGGTAAAAGAATTAAAAGTCAATTGTTTGTTGTTGGCAATTTTCTGAGTATTAGTTCACAATTTATAAAAGTTTGTTTAAATTAAACAAGTTTGGATTTTGTAATCTAATATTGCTTTAGTTTATCCTGAAAAGCTTCATGAATATAGTATTATTCAGTACTAAACATTTCTAATATTCGTTATTGACATTCAAAAAAATCCATCCTGCCTATATGGATTTACCATAGTAAGAGCTGAGCTCTGCTTGCGTGTAGGACTGAAGCAAGTTATGAGACATCACATTTGTACTTACTATGGCTTAGTAGTTAGTGCCTTTCACACCTGTAGCCTTCATTGTAGAACAGGGGGAAAAAATTCAGGAATAGTTTTGATAGTGTTTATCATTGCTGACATCATGCCATAGTTAGTTGTATAATAATTATATTAGAGCTACAGTGGATTCAAGACTAAGAGTCTGCAAGTTTTATAGTTCCTCAAGTAGTCATCAAAAGAGTTGTTCTGTCTGTTCCAGAAATATGAAATACTTTCATTTTATAATTTGATAAAACAACATATACCAAGTACATAATGATGAAGTCTGGTTTAAAGCTGTATAGTGTATAGTCTTGGTTGGGATTTAATTTTTTTTAAGCCTGATATAATAGAACTGGTGAACACAGCAATGTGAGGGTTTCAAAGCAAGGGGCTCAAGGAAACTTGGCATATAAATGAAATAATAAAGTAATGTTATTATGAGACCAATGGAATTATGGCCAGTGAGGCCATACTAATGTTATGAGACAGCAAGCTGTGTGGATTATTTCTATTTTCCTGGTGGGTTCAAATCTTAATTCTGTCACTAGCTTTGCAATCTGGGTCAGATTAGTCATCTTCTTTATGAATCAGTTTCCTCATCTGTAAAATGGTCATCTTAATAGCCTTAATGGGGTGGTTGTGAGAAATGAGTTAATATATACAAAAGGCTTAGAAAAGTGCCTGGCACACTTCCCCTCAGACTCTACCAGACCTTGAACTTCACAGAATTTATGTTATTAGGAATAAAGGCATCAGATGGTCATATTTGATTTTATATATGGGTATAATAGCTGATAGTTTCCTTTTACTTCGTGTAAACTGATATGCTAAAGTCCGGCTAACACAATTGGCTCATTGACATTTGTGTGTCTTTTAGATACTCCCAGCCCCTGCATGAAGAAATAGCATTGCATAAGCATCTAAAGCACAAGAATATTGTCCAGTATCTGGGTTCTTTCAGTGAGAATGGTTTCATTAAAATCTTCATGGAGCAGGTTCCAGGAGGTAAGAGATGTTTTTTCCCTTTAAAAAATACAAATTTCTAGGGCCTTGAAGAGGAGTAAAACTGAGTGAGATTTACAGGTTGACAAGTCTTAATTGGTCTAAGTTAAAAGAGAAGTTAGCCACATTGCATTAACCTCCCATTTTATTAGAAATGTAAGTATCTGAGATCATTTTAAGATCAATCATTGTGACTTGGATTAAGGTTAGCGATTGAGTGGCTTTTTACTACTTACTATTTGATAATGAGCATCTTCAAATAGTTAAGCTGACATTTATTGGTTATTTATAGTGGCGCAGGAACTGTACTGGACACTTGCCTCTTCATATATGAGCCCTCGTATCAGTACAGTTCCTGCGCCATTGTAAATAACCAATAAATGTTAGCTTAACTTAGTGTTAATTTATTAATGTACTTTAAGAACTCATTTGGATTAAGATTTTATCCGCTGTTTTCCCTACTTTACAGGAAGTCTTTCGGCTCTCCTTCGTTCAAAATGGGGCCCCTTGAAAGACAATGAGCAGACAATTGGATTTTATACAAAGCAAATACTGGAAGGATTAAAATACCTCCATGACAATCAGATAGTTCACCGGGATATAAAGGTAGGATGAACTAGGATTCATTTTTGTATGTTCCTTGTTGGGTAGTTTTTTTATTTGCAAAAGCCACGTTATGTTATGGGTATTAACTTACAGTGGTGAATGAATAAATCTTAGAAATAGAAATAGAAGATATTTCTCTGTCCTGAATCAGTTATTGATAATCATATCTTATCCATGTAAAGAATAAACTCCTTAACCATGTTCAACCAACAAAGATAGAGCTTCCACTACGTGCCTGGCACTGTTCTGTGTGAGTTTTGGCACAGCAGAACAAAATGGAACAGGAGGATGGTCCCTGCTTCTGGAAGTTTAGAGGCTGGTTAATCTTTGTATCCTTGCCCATAGTATCTACTCAGTAAATATTTATTGAATCAATGAATAAATGATTAGAAGGAAAAAAGAGCCCTAACCTGTTTGGCTCGGTGGATAGAGCATCGGTCGGAGAACTGAAGAAGGGTTCTGGGTTTGACTCAGATCAAGGGCATGTACGTTGGTTGTGGGCTCGATCCCCAATAGGGATTATGCAGGAGGCAGCTGATCAGTTTCTCTCTCATTGATATTTCTAACTCCCTATCTCTCTCCCTTCCTCTCTGTAAAAATCTATAAAATATATATATTTTTTAAATCTTAGTTTCTCACAACCATTACATATTCATGGATTAAACGGATATTAGATAACTTAGTAAATTAAAATGCAAATATTCAGAACTAAATTTCTGACAAAGACTGGACTATGGAAAGTAAATTGATATTTCTACCCTAAAATCAACTCAAATGCCTTATTTATTTGTGATATTTCTTACTATTCTAGAAAAAAATTAGTAAAACAACATAGAAAAGAAAGTAAAGTGACTGGGGAATTATGACTATCATAACTGAAATTATTATACATGTACCATGCATAGACAACCCCTGCTCTCTGTAAACTGTAGCAAGCTCTACCTAACCGTGATTGACCTTGTGACCCACGTGGCAGTTATGGACAACTGATAACATACAAACAGAAATGATGTCAAGAATTCCTTGTTGAGATTAACTATTCATGAAGAATACAGAATTTGTGTCCTTGTTTGCCCTAAGGACACCTTTTCTTATTGGATTTTCGAGCCAACAATAGACAGGATTGGAAGAAATGTAATGTTTTTTACTAAAGGCCTCTGTTTTCTAGGGTGACAATGTGTTGATTAACACCTACAGTGGTGTTCTCAAGATCTCCGACTTCGGGACATCAAAGAGGCTTGCTGGCATAAACCCAAGCACCGAAACGTTTACTGGTATGTTTTTGCAATGATGATACAGATCTTATGTAATTAAAGAAATAATTGCTGCATTTGAGCATAATGTACGAGATAAATGTAGTTGTTCCCACAAATATTAATGTTGATATCTTTTGATGATTACTGAAAAGTAATACACAGAATTTATCTGGCCCTTTTCTCATCTTGTATTTATATGATCTATTCAGTCTTCTTGCTTAATGCTCCTGAAGATTTTTTTTTTTTTTTAACTCTACATTTGTTTTTCTTTTCATGTCATTCTTTCTCTCTGGTTTGGCCTATAATCAATATAACCCTGACAAGATTTTTCAAAAACATTTCAACCTAACCTTTCTTTGATTCTTACTCATACCTGAATCACTTCCCATGTGGCCTATGAATCCCCTCTCTTCTAATCTGTTTTCTCCCTGTGATGCATTCCCCCTGCTCACAACATAAATAACTGCAGGATTTCATTCCCTTTCAATCCCGAAAGAGGAAGTGACTCACCGACTCTCTAGCTTTCCTCCAAGGTTAGGCAATGCAACCACTGTGCAGCATTTAGAGCAAAGTCCTGGGAGGGCAAGAGACACGGGGGCTTTCTAAAAAGGCAACAGTGGCTAAGAGGAAACCAAGGCTCAGAGAGATTCATGACCGCCCAGGTCTGAGGAGAAGTTACCGGGAGGCGTCCGAAACTCCAGCCCTGCTCTCCATTCCAAGTTCTTAGCACTCCATTCTGCTATTTCTCATGAAGTATTATTATTATGAGAGAAAGATTTAGAGAGAAAAAAGATAATGAATTAAGCAAAATGGCCAGATGTCCCCATTTCTTAGTTCTGTGAGGTGGGTGGTAGTATCTCCATTTTTCAGATGAGGAAATTGATTTTTTTTTTAAAAAGGGGGGGGTGGGGGACATCGAAGTCACAACAGTTTATAAATGATAAGGCCCAGATTTATTTTTTTATTTTTATTTTTTATCTACCCTGTGCTCTTTGCTTTGACCTTCTTGCTTCAGTCAGTATTTCTCTCCACCTTGCTGAAGTATCTATTCTGGAAGCCTGGAAGGGGAAAAAGAGAAATTCCACACCCTTTTTCCTCAGAACTCCCCATCAGTGACACTTCTGGCCTAGTTTCCAGCAATGAGAATTTTAGGGTAAAGAATTAAATACATCCAGAAAGCATTTTTTTAAATAGCAAAATTGGTTCTAATTTATTTGTAACTTTACATGTCGTTATGTTTCTTTTCTCATTCTGTCTCAGTTTGGCAAGAGGCATTTTAGATGCTTCCAAGATTCAGTAACTTCTGAGAGGAAAATCCCTGCTTTCAGACACTATATTTGGTCAAGATGCTAATTTAATATCTCCTGATAATCTTGAAAACATTTTCTGTTCGTTCTCGAAAGAGTTCTAGTAAAGTGGCCATCCAGGGCCCTGTGCTTGTACTTCTCTCAGCGACCTCACATGGTGACACATATGACTCAAGTCTGTCTCCAGCGCTGGTCAGGAGGCCTGGGCGTGCGACTTGGATTCTCGGCCGTAGGCCTCAGAACTAGCCACGTCCCTGCTGCTTAGTCAGCCTCTGATGAGCTGCGCTGAGACCTCGGTCCATTCACTGCCTGGTCATGTGATGAAAGGGAAGGCAGCAGCGACCACCATCTATAGAGTGTATACCCAACGGTGCTAAGTGCTTTATATACGTTATTTCACTGAAATTCATATATCAGCCCTAATCCTTAGGTATCATTATTCCAGGTTAGGGTGAGAAAATGAAGGTTCAAAGAGGTTAAGTAGTTTGCCCAAGGTCACAAAGCTAGTCAGTCATAGAGCTACGCTTCAAACTAGACGTAACATGCCAAATGGAATTAACTTCTCCTCAGACCTGTTCCACCCACACTTTTCTCCATCACAGTTAATGGCCACTCCAAACTTAGAATTATCTGTGGTGCGTCTCTTTTCTCACACTCCAACCCAATCCATCAGGAAACCTATTGGCTCTACCTTCAAAGTGTATCCAAAATTGGAATAGTTCCTCACTGTCTCCACTACCACCTGCATTTCTCACCTGCGTTACCTCAATAACCTCTTCTCCCTGCTTCCCCTCTCTTTAAAAAAAAAAAAAATACTTTTTTATTGATTTTTTTTAAAGAGAAGAAGGGAGACGGATAGAGAGTTAGAAACATCAATAAGAGAGAAATATCGATCAGCTGCCTCCTGCCCACCCCTTTCTGGGCATGTGCCTGCAACCAAGGTACATGCCCTTGACTGGAATAGAACCTGGGACCCTTCAGTCCACAGGCTGACTCTCTATCCAAACTGAGCCAAACAGGTTAGAGCCCTGCTTCCTCTCTTGCCCGCTATGTCCATTCTCAACCCCAGCCATATCAGTCAAAGACCGCAGGGCTTGCTACTTCTTTCACAGCAAACAAACATCAAAGTCCTTACAGGAGTGGAGAGTTTGGAATTCGTCCCCATTTAGACCTCATTTCCTACTCTTCCCCTCTTGCTCACTCTGTCCCAGAAACGTAGGCCTTCCTACATTTCCTTCATTGTGCTGCAGGACCTTTGCACATGCTTTTCCTTCTGCTACGACATTCTTCTCCCAGCCATCTGCATGACTAAATCCCTCTCCTCCTGCAGGTCTTAACTCAGATGTCATCTCAGTGAGGCCCTCCCTATTTGCATGGTAGTCCTTCGTGGGCACATCTGCTACCCTTTTTTACTCTTGTTTTTGTTTTTTTGTTTGTTTGCTCGTTTGGGGGGCTGTCATAATACGTAACTTTCTAACATACTATACAGTTTACTTATTTATTATGCTGTAATTTATTGTCAGTTCCCCACTACAAAAATGTCAGCTTCCCAAGCCCAGGGATTTCGGTCTGTTTACTCTGCAGCTATATTCTAAATGCCTGGAACAGTGCCCAGCCCACAGCAGGCCCTTAATACGGCACTGCTGGACATGTGAATGAATGGATACAGTGTGATGTCAAAATTTAAGCTTGTTGCTACTATGCTGTAGTGGCTTCGCAGACTGGCTTGCAGCTTCATTATCCAGCTCTGTAAATCTCTTTATATAAAATATTACATGTCATGCATTTGTGGAGTGAAGGGAGCAGATGTGAACACATGACTAAACCTGTTTTTATTGCCACTTGCTCAATAAGGGATAATTAAATACAATTGGCAGGTAGCGCTCTTTGAAATATCTGATGAATAAAAACATTGCATAATTTATTATTAAGATATTACTTGAATTGTCCAATTCTTTTCAATTCTTATATTATTGATCAGTTGTGATGCTTACTCAGATATTAAAACATATCAAATTCTCTCATTCATTCTACTTTAGACCCAAAGACAACAGAAAGGAGCAGTAGTCTTCATTACATATTTTTTTAAAGACCACTTGATTTAATTTACATCATAAAACATGATCACTTTGGGGGGAAGCTATAAATGAAGGTAAATCACAGTACTTTTCTCCCAAGCATAGGTGACTTGAGGAGTTTGGTTACCTGATCCTTGGCCAGGTGAAATGCTTCCATCCAGGAATTTTACTGATTGAAGCTGAGAGCAGACATGTGCAGTTGTATCTGAACATGAACTTAAGCTACTGCTTTGTAATGGTGAGGTCTGGAGGATAAACCTGCCAACAGAACAATACCAAATTAATTGGAAAAATTAATAGACTTTACTTATTTTTATGACAACAGTCTGTTCCCAGCTCATGACAGTAGTAGCTTTCATAGGAACAACTTAGAGGAATTTTGCATAGCAGTTTTCACCCACAAATCATGCACAAGGCATTTGTAGGAGATGTTGTCTGTATTTATCGAAATGTCTATCATTGGTTATGAATCAGAAAATACTGAAGTAGCACTTTTGGCAAATGCCTCAAGATTTGAAATAATTCAAGATGGCATCGTGGAGGAGTTCTATTTGCTGATTATATCATTTGTATGAATATATCAGAAGCGGGGGTTGTGGCAATAATCTGTTTCTCTTCCCACTCTGTCCTCATTGCTCCACTTCAGGGAATCACTGCAGCAAGTGTTAGAAACATTAATCCAGCCTCTCACTTGAGCCAGTGATACAACCGCAGTTAAGTGTTTATCAGAGACATTCCAGACCAGAACTAGAACCACGGATCTTGCCTCCCCACTTAATTCTTTTTCCATCATATTGCATTCTTTAACTCTCTGATTCTTTATATAAAATATCCTCTCTTTTTTCTTTTCCATTCTATTCTTCACTCTGTATCTGGTAATTTGTCTGTACTGATGGCTCATGGACCACAGGCACATAGCAGAATTGTAAATATTTGATTTATAGATTTACATTATTTTTGACAATACCTTTTAGAATCTGCATGCTTGAATGATTTAGAAATAAGAATGAAAACAGAAGAACTAAGCATTCAATTCAGGAATTGAGAAATATGAACCTAAGGAAATGGATGAATGACCTAGACTTTTCTTAGAAAAGATTAGAAGTATTCATAATAAGAATTTTCATGTGCTTCAAAAACTGATTTTAGAAAATGTGTGTTGGTGTATTCTATTCTCTTGTTCTCAAATGACAGGTTGTTAGAAGTTTCTAAGAGGTCCTAATGAAATAATTGCCTTAATTATACTATTTAAGAAATGAAAATGTGTCGGTTCATATCCAGGTAAGATTGGTAAACTACCTCGCTAACAAAATCCATTATAAAAACTGCTTATTTTCTCTTTTATTAACAGCAGAGAAAAACTGGGATTCAAAAAGGATGCAGTATTAAGACCTGAACCATACTTTGAAAGTGCCTTATTTATGTAGAGAAATTGAAACTGTCACTAGATGTTCTCTTTTGAAGTGGGATTGTGTTTGAACTCTTCCCAGGTACCCTTCAGTACATGGCACCAGAAATCATAGACAAAGGACCCAGAGGCTATGGGAAGGCAGCAGACATTTGGTCCTTGGGTTGCACCATCATCGAAATGGCCACAGGGAAGCCGCCCTTTTATGAACTGGGAGAACCACAAGCAGCGATGTTCAAGGTCACATTTTGTATGTCTTAAATATCTTAAAAACCAGTGGGTAAAGCTGCTGGCTGTTCCGTGGGTGCATGCCATCTGCTTTTAGCCAGAAGGCAAGGAGCCTAAGTGAGCACCGTCTGAGAGCACATTATAGTTCAAGATGATTCACTCCCCTCAGTGCCTCACAAGTGGATCTCTCTGCCTTAATTTTCTCAGCTATAAAGCGACAGACTTCCACTGACCACCTTTTCACAGTTCAGTGTGAAGAACACACCATCCCAGGGAAGATGGTGTAATCTCCTTGGGAAACACAGGTTAAAAAGCTTCCATGGAGGTAGATATAAGAACATTTTTTATCCATTTAAGTGTTAAACCAAAGAGATATTCTCCTTTCCTTTATTAAAAGAGTTTGACATCTCCATTTAAAAAAGGCATGATATTGCTATTTTAAGTACACGTCTTACTCTGATACCGTTACTCTTCTAGCCTCTTCATTTGCCTGTTAGTAACTCTTCTGGGAGTGGAAAGCAGCCCAAATAAGGAGCATCTGATATCAAAATAGAGCTGAGAGAGCCTTGGGCCACAGCTTCCAAATCTGGGGATTGGGCAAAGCAGTGACCTGTGGCTGGGTCCACTTCTCATCTGCTACGCTACCATGCAAGAGTGAAGTTTAAACTGAGAACTTGGCTTGGCCGGTATAGCCAGTGGTTGAGTGTCGCCCTATGAACCAGGAGGTCAGGTTTCAATTCTCTATCAGGGCACATGCCTGGTTTTCGGGCTCGATCCCCAGTAGAGGGCATGCAGCAGGCAGCTGATCAATGATTCTCTCTCATCATTGATGTTTCCCTCTGTTTCTCTCTCTCTCCCTCTTCCTTATTCTCTGAAATCAATAAAAATATATTTTTAAAAACAAAAATTAAAAATAAAATAAACTGAGAACTTGTTTCCTGAGAGGTAAAGCTCACATTCTGTTTTCTAAGGCAGAAGGTGTTTAATAACTTTGTTTTTCCCCTGTCTCTGACCATGTCTCTGGCACTTACTCCATTTGTGAATAGCCTCTCAGGAGAGGCCATGTGTTACATGCCTTCTGCTTTTGTACAGAGTGTGGTTTACTTTGAGCTTGAAGATGATATGATGGGACACTGCTGATTCAGAAATGAGTAGTGTAACCACGCCTGAAGAGTAACAAGAGCTACCTTTTTGACATGAATGAATGTCTTTCTCTTCTGGGCCAATCTTTGAAGTTTTTACCATTGTCTAGGACTTCATCCTGAAATGCTGCTGTTACCGTCTGTGCAGGGATCATAATACAATGTGCTTCAGACGAGATAGACTCTGGCACTGATTTACAGTGTTTGAATCCAGGCTCCAACACAGTCAAGCTGGTTGATGACTTTGGGCAAATTATTCAACTATCTTGTTCCTCATCTCTAAGTTGGGTATAAATTTAGTACCTCGTTGGTCAAGGTTTTTTAGGAGTATATGAGATAATATGGGCAAAGCACTTAGAATAGTAAAGGCTACATAAATATTACAAACAATTACATATAATCTATGTGCTAATACACTTATATAACTAATAGCCTATATAACATAGAAGATTTCCTTAGAAAATTTTCTCTACTAATACATGAAAACATTTTTAGAATGGCAGCAATGAAAAGAAAATTGAATTATTATAAAAATTCTATTTTATTTAAAGTATTTTAAAATATATTTTAATGTATGCAGTTTGAGATGATGAACATATTCATAAATTATGTAGTAAAGGAAAGAACACAAATTTTAAGCCAAACACATTCCTTTTTATGACCTTATAGCCTGATCCCTCTGAGCCTCATTATCCTCGTTAGTGCAACAAGTATAATAATATTTAATCCACTGGGTTGTTGGGAGGATTCATGAGATTCATTGAATGAAAATGGAAAAAGCCAAGCACAGTTCCTGGCACATCACTATCATGACCAACACAATGAATGGTCCAATTAAAAACATCCTTTTTTCTCGCCAGTGTGCTAATGTGTCCTCAAGCCTTGAGGACTGAATTACTACTTTATAGTGTCTTAAGCTAATCACTCTGCCTATGTCATTGATAAAGTTGCAAAAGCACTTTATCTTTCTATAACCTACAGAAAAAGTACCCTACCTCCCTTTGAGAAAACCCATGAGTTCATAGTATATGATAAAGGATTTTGTTACAGTAGAAGACCAAGTTATGATCCCTGGAGCTTCTGGGATGAGATGTCACTCAGAAGCCCCATTGTGCCATTTCACAGGTGGGAATGTTTAAAGTCCACCCGGAGATCCCGGAGTCCATGTCAGCAGAGGCCAAGGCATTCATCCTGAAGTGTTTTGAACCAGACCCTGACAAGAGAGCCTGTGCTAATGACTTGCTTGTTGATGAGTTCTTAAAAGTTTCAAGCAAGAAGAAAAAGACACAACCTAAGCTTTCAGGTATGTGATTGCATTGAAGGAGATACATTCAGAGTCCCTAAATCCTAAGCTTTTAAGATGGACGATTTTTCCAGAAGCAAGCTAACCTGTCTGTAGATGTCACTGGAAATTGGTGTAAGCCCTGGCAGTGTTCTCAGGCATGCAGTGTCAGTATCAGGAAGCTGTGTTACCATCACCCTCATGAACGCCAGGGCCTCCTGCATAATAGTGTTTCATCATCCAGTTAGTAGGTATTTTTACTGTGTCTATATCTCCAGCATTCTAGCATTGCTGATACAAAGGTTAAAGTGGAAAAGGGGTGAAATACAGCCTTTTAGAGCTGAAACTCCAAATTAATGGGTTACAGGGCTGTTACAGAGCTGAGCTGTTGAATTTTCAATCTGTCTAGATAATATGTTATTTTCATTTTAGTCAGTAAAAAATACCTATTGCTTCTTAGAGAATGTCTTTCTGAATAATTAACTCCTCCCCCCCAAAAAAAAGAAACATTGCCAGTTATAAGTAAAACAGCAGTGTAAAAATGTTAATTGCATTTTTTGCAAGAATTTCTATAACTCATTTCTGAGAGAAAAAAAAAAACAAGTAAATGATCTACTCGTTGTTGGTGTTTTGGTGTTTCTATGGGATGAGGGTGGGCAGCTTGAATGCTTGGAAAGGGCATGGCTTCCCATGTCAAGTCCTCACTTTTCGTTGGCTTCTCAGTTTAACAACAACCCCAATGTGTGTTTATGCTGTTCTTTGCTTTTCTTCCCACAGCTCTTTCTCCTGGATCAAATGGTGAGTTTGTTGTTATATTTTCTATTGAGCTGAAGCTGGGTGGGTCATGTGATCAGCTCATCAAATAGACTCATCCTCCTCTCCCTGATTTCAGGGGCGGCTGCTGGTACTAGGGGTGTGTGCAGCTGCAAGCCCGGCGGGCTCATTCTGTCAAAACCCCTCACCTTTCTCTTTCATGAGGGAATCTTCCGTTGTTCCTCCCTAAATGCATGTTTATAGTTCTGAAATATTCCATTTGACTGGAGTCCACACTTTCTCTGAGAACTGGGGAAGAGATCATCTAGTCCATTGGTTTCTGAAATGTTGTTTAGCAGAGAACCCTTTTTTCTATGAATCCTCAGGCAGAGCCCTGATGTATAAGACACACACAGCGTTTTTGTTTTAGGTAAAACAGGGTTGGAACCTGTGTTCTAGAATCACAGAATCCTACTTAAGCCATCCAAGGCAGCCCCAAGGTTCTAAGGTGGACCCTTACACCTCTGAGGAACATGGCTCAAAACTTAAGGATCTTGTCCTTTGTAGAGTAAACAGACCTGAAAAGGACCTTTCTGAAATCTGACAAGTGGACAATGAAAACAAAGGGATTGGAACCCAAGGTGTGCTGGGTCTCATGCTTCAGTTCATGCCCCTGAGACCTTCCTTACAGGTCCCATGAAACCGCTTGCTCACCGACCCTTCCTGTGGGGGGTCATATATTGAGCATGGGAGCAATCTAAATATCACGACCAGACTCTTAGGTTGGAATGAGACACTTAACGGCTAACATGGCTCTCTTTTAGCAGGCATTGCAGTATGCATACGTTTTTCCCCACCATTAATTCTCTTTCCCCCTCCGGACAAGCAGAATACCTTAGGAGCATATCCTTGCCGGTCCCTGTCCTGGTGGAGGACACCAGCAGCAGCAGTGAGTACGGCTCCGTTTCTCCCGACACGGAGCTGAAGGTGGACCCCTTCTCTTTCAAAACAAGAGCCAAGTCCTGCGGAGAAAAGGAAGTGAAAGGAATGCGGACCCTCTTTTTGAGGTAAAGACCTGACTGACTTTGGGTGACGGAAGTAGGTGGTGTACCATCTTATAGAGGGAAGCGTGACTTGTGCTGTGTGGGTTATTGCAGCATTCCAGATGAGAACTTTGAAGATCACAGTGCTCCCCCTTCTCCCGAGGAGAAGGACTCCGGGTTCTTCATGCTGAGGAAGGACAGCGAGCGGCGGGCCACCCTCTACAGGATCCTGAAGGAAGACCAGGACAAAGTTGTGAGAAACTTAATGGAGTCTTTGGCTCAGGTAAAACCTCTCACGGATGCTTCATGTTTTCAGAGTTAACCTATTTTAGCTGTTAAAACCAATGGGCCTACTGGTGTGGCTCAGTGGTTGAGTGTCGACCTACGAATCAGGAGGTCACAGTTTGATTCCTGGTCAAGGCACATGCCCAGGTTGTGGTCTTGATCCTCAATAGGGGGCGTGTAGGAGGCAGCCAATCAGTTATCTTCTCTCGTCATTGATGTTTCTGTCTCACCCTCTCTCTCTAAGTCAAATGCCAAGCTTTTCTGTTGGTGAAGCTCCCTTTAGTCCCTACCAGCCCCTTTTACCCCTCATTAATTGATGCATTCGACCAATCAATGAACACACATTGAGCAATGTGAATTGCTCGTTCTGACCTTAGCTCACAACTGCCTCTCAGTCACTCCTCGGAGCATGCAGGAAACACTGAAGACACAGCAGAGGCCCACGGTGGAGGGGCTGCATTCAGTGTCAGGTGATGGGCAATAACCAGTAAATTACATAGTGGGCGAGGGGCCATTTGTGCTATGAAAAAAACAAATATGGCCAGTCCGACTCTGGTTCCCTCATGTATTTGTTCGCTAGGGTTGCCATGACAGATGCTATAGACTGAGCAGCTTAAATACCAGGAACTGATTTCTCACGGTGGTGGAGGCTGACGTCTCAGAGCAAGGTGTCCCCAGGTTTGGTTTCTTCCTAGGCCTCTCTCCTTGGCCTGCAGATGGCGTCTTCTCACTGCGTCCTCACCGGCCTTTTTTTCTCTGTGCACTCCTAGTGTGTCTTCCTCTTATAAAAAACATTACCCAAAAGGGTTAGGGTCCCACCCTTGTGATCTCATTTAACCCTAATTACCTCCTAAACATCCTATCTTCAAATGCAGAGGCGAGGGCTTCAACATAGGAATTCGGGCAGGGGGAGGACACGGTTCAGTCCATGACAACTGGGACTTTGTACTCTGGGATTCTGCTTACAGATACAAGCAGAAGCCCCAGGAATGCTCTGTCTCCTGTGGCTACAACCTGTCCTGCCTGATCCGTGTGGACTGCATGTACTTTCTTCCCTCCCTCTGTCCCAGGGAAACAGCTGTGAAAGTGTGGAGCTGGAGGAGTTGGTCAAGTGTTCAGTTTCTCAGTCTAACAATTTACATTGTTTTCAACTTGGATCAGGGTGTATGTGGAGTCAGGTGCCTATAAGTGCTTTTCTTTCCCTTGGCTCTCTCTCTCTCCTTTCTCTCTCTTTCTCTAAATATCAATAAAAACATATCCTTAAGTAAGGATTAAATATAAAAGAATAAATATGTATTTAAATATATTGTTTGGGGAGGATCCAAGATGGCTGCTCGGGTAGACATCTAGCCGCGGCAGCACACAACAATTTCAATGGAATACAAGTAAAATGTAGAGTGGACATTGCCCAGAGCTACAGGTAGTCGACTGACTGAAATTTCTACAACAAGAAGGAAAGAGAAAACCAGAAGGAAAATCAGAGGAGCTGAAAAAAAGCCTAAGGTACGGAGACATTCGGCGCGCGCCTGCCCGCCCGCACGCGCGCACGTCGAGGTCGCAGCCGGAGAGGAGGAGAGGGCGGGGAGCCGCCTTTCCTTCCCTAGCAGGAAGGAAATAAAACCCCCAGCCTGGGCTGGACCCCCGAACCGGCAGCACTGAGCCCCCCGAACCGGCAGCGCTGAGCCCCAGTTATGGGCCAGACCTTGGGGACCCAGGCTCCGGCAGGAGGAGACTGGGCTGTGAGGCGGAAAAACGGCGAAAAGCAGGGCCCCGGGAGTCGCGCGCAATTCGCGCAGAGGACTGAATGTTGACTCTGATGCTGGGTTGCCCTAGCCGGAAGAAACAAGGCCTCCGGCGGCGCTGAGCCTCAGTCCGGACTGCTCCGAACCCCAGTTCTGGGCCAATCCCTGGGGACCCAGGCTCAGGCAGAGGGAGACGGGGCTGTGAGGTAGAGTCTGGGGAGAGCGGCGAAAGGCCGGGCCCCCGGGACTCGCGCAAACTGCGCACAGACAGTCTGTGGGACTCGCGCAAACTGCGCGCAGAGGACAGTCTGTTGACTCTGATGCTGGACTTCCCTAGCGGGAAGGAGAAAAAAAAAGCTCTAGGCTGGGGGAACGCGGAGGGGAGCGGAAGCCCCTGCCGGACTCCAGCCAACCGGGCACCAGCAAGGAGGCGGGCCACGGGGCCCCTGGGGGCGTGGGTGCCCCTGAGCCTTTGACCACTGAGCTCGGGCAATGGAGCCAAGGCCGGGGGCTGCTTCCTGGGCTGCGCCGTCTCGGCAACAGGCTGAAGCAGCGCAGGAGCCCGCGGAGAACAAAGGGGTGCCACAGGCCAACCTGCTGAGCTCCCAGGACAAGGAGGAAGAAACCAAAGAAGTTCTCAATGTGAAGAAATCAAGTGAGAGCAAAAAAATAGTAAAATTACTTAAGAAAGAATACAAAGAAGATCTTGAAAAATCAAAGACTAAGTCAGAACTCAACTCACCAGCCAACATTGCAACATAAATGCGTTTTAAAAAGAAAAAAGAAAAAAAAAAAGGACAGAATGTTGGAACAGCGACGGCCAGGCCTAGAGTGGCCAGGCACAAGGCAGTGGCAGCCAGACCCGGAGCAGCAACGGCCAGGCCCCAGAACAACAGCAGCCAGAACCAGAGCATCAACAGCCAGCACTGGAGCAGCCAGACCTGGGGCAGTGGCAGCCAGGCATGAGGCGGAGGCGGCCAAGCCCAGGGTGGCCAGTCCAGAAACACCCAGACCCGGAGTGGCCAGGCCCGGAGAAGCCAGGCCCAGAGCAGCCGGGGTGGGAGCAGCCAGACCCAGAACAACAGTAGCCAAGCCCAGAGCATCCAGGTCGGGAGTGGCCAGGCTCGGAGTGTCCGGGCACGGGGCAGCCGGGCCCAGAGCAGCCGGGTCAGGTGCAGCCAGGCCCGGAGCAGCGGCTGCCAGGCTGGGAGCTGCCAGGCCCGGAGCAGCAGCAGCCAAGTCCAGAGCAACTAGGTCGGGAGCGGCAGTGACCAGACTCGGAGCAGCTGGTTGTGGAATGAACCAGAGCAACAGAGGCCAGGCCCTGAGCAGCCAGGACCAGAACAGCTCGCTCCTTGCCTGCCCCACGGCTGCTTCTCAGACATGGCTGGGAACTTTCGTGGGTACTTGAGGGTCTGCTGAATCAAGTGATGAAGGCTTAGATCTGGATGTGTTGAGTTAGTTTAGGACTGGGGTGTTGATCTGTGAGTGCCTTGGGTGGGGCCTGGATGAGGCTAGTGGACCTATTGGGAAATGTCTTTTGTGTGAAGTGTATCATTGGGCATGTGGAGGTATTATTGATATGAGAAAATGCTAAGTAACTGATTTACTATCTGAAAAGGGATTTACTATTGGGGAAATTGAGGGAAGAAGAGACTGAACATAAACTGCACCTATGGATGAGGACAATGGGGGATGGGGAGGGGGCAGAGGGTGGGGTGGGAACCTGGTGGAGGGGGGAAGAAATGAGGAACCTTTGTAATAATATGAACAATAAAGATTGATTTAAAATAAATAAATAAATAAATAAATAAATAAATAAATAAATAAATATATTGTTTGGGTAAAAATAGGTTTACAGTTGCACATATGGAAAATAGAGTAATATCATAATTAATAAATAATACAAGAATAAACTATTTTGAATACTCACAACTGTAAACCTACTTTTGCCTCACCTTGTATAGTAGCATTTAGAGTTAAATATATAGTTATAATATATAATAATAAATATTATTGTAAGTATAAGAAAATTTAAACACATAATAATAGCAAGCAATTTCTATGAGCCAGCTATTGTTCTTGGTATTGCATAGGTATTTGCTCACTTAATCCCCCTGAGAATAGTGCTATATTAATAGTTCTGTTAGCATCCTCATTTTGCACAGAGGAGGTGAGTAAACTTGCCTAGGCCATGCAGGCCTAAGTGACAGAGCCAGGCAGTCTGGCTCCCAGGTCTGTGTTCTTAACTACCACACTGCTCTCCTTCCTGGGATGACAGATGGTGGCAAGTGATGGGAGAAACATAAAGCAGGGGAGGGGGTGGCATTCCGGGTGTGGGGACAGGGAAAATCATTGTGGAGTGAAGGTTCTCCTATGGCCATTAGTGAAGATACCTGTTTTAGGCCAGAAACACAGAACTCAGGGATTATTTAAATCTCATATTCATCCCAAAAGGGTGTGCTTTTCCAGTACAGAAAATGTCTTTTTTTTGTGTTTTCCTTTGTCTCTCTGCCATATCAGAGGTCCATGGGGACAGAGCAACCTTGATTACTGTCATTGTCCCAGCTCTCAGCACAGAGCCTAGCAAGAAACTCCACTTTCATGACTTTGATGAAATTCATAAACTTTTATATTGGTTAATCTTCTACATTTTTTTTTGTGTGTGTGTGATTTCCTAGTTTTTTAAGCCCACTTGAATGTTCTCTATAAAATAATACATGAAAGAAAACCTTATTAAAAGAAGCCATCAGAGGGCATACCTTGGTACACCAATAGGAGGAACCAGTGAGCACCAGAAACTGCTGGTCAGAATCACATGCTAAATCCAAGTAATAGTGAGGGTCCTTCTGATTGTACTGCTGAGGCCACTGTGAATCCTTGCCTGTGATGCCACCTGATGGTCTAGTGGCAGAGCAGTCCTGACCCAGCTAATCGAGGAGAAGAATGTAATGATTGGGAGCTTGGGCTCAGCTGCAACTTGCTAATTCCACCATGTAAAGGCTGTGTGATTTGGGCAGGTTATTTAACTCTTCTGAGGCTGAATTTCCTCACCTATAAAAGAGAGGAAACGCTTTAAAGGATAACTAAGCCCTGGCCAGTTTTGCTCAGTGGATAGAACGTCAGCCTGTGGACTGAAGGGTCCCAGGTTCAGTTTTGGTCAGGGGCATATGCCTGGGTTACAGGCTCAATCCCCAATAGGAGGTTTGCAGAAGGCAGCCAATTCTCTCTCACCATTGATGTTTCTACCTCTCTCTCCCTCTCCCTTCCTCTCTGAAAACAATAAAAAATGTATTAACAACAACAACAACAAAGAATAACTAAGATCATGAGCAATTGAGGTAATAGAAAGTGTTCCACAGAGGTTATTATTGTTGTTGTTATCGTCAAACAGGCTAACAATATTTAATATCTTTCAAATTTTTTCTACAACCAGATAGAAATAATTCTTTCCATTGTATCACATATTCCTAGGTACATCTTTACATTTAAGCCTACCCTTTATAATAAGACTGAAATGTAGATGGTGGTCAGGGCCTCAAATCAGCCCATGAAAGGCCTTTCAATCTGTAGCATCTTCTGAAGTCGACTCATCATTTTTAAGGAAGCTTAAATTATACAGAATAGAGAGCACCTTTGGAAAAGATTCTGTGATGATACCAGGAATGCTTAGAAAAAGGCACCCTGTCAGATGCTACCTTCTGATGGCGAGTCAGGTGTTACCCGATAACTGAGATGCTCATTTGTGAAGGCACTGCAGTGACTGCACAGAGAGAAGAGTTAAAACAGAAACAGCGATTGTGTAAGCGGCTGAAATACTCTAGAGAGACTGCATTTCCTGAAGCAGACAGCATTCCTTTGTAGGACAGTGGCACTCACATCCAAAACCCAGAAGCAACATGTTTTTCTGTTGTGAAAACAATGCTAATGTCAAAAAAATGTTTGCTATTTAAACTGCTGACAAACATTAACCGATTTTTCACTAAGCTAAGCTTCCAATTCCCGAACAAGTCACATTTTTCTTCTTGAACATGTTTTCATGTGATTATGGTATTTCCTATGAATGTTTACTTTGGGTGTAATTTAGTTCGTGGTAAGAAAATAAACAATTTGTAATTGTTCCCAGTCTCATTTTAAAATATTACCTTAATGACAGCCTTCAGGATTTTCAATATAATCTTTCTCATGCAAACATCAATATGAGAGAGAGCTTCCAGATGAAAATGGATTAAGAGGAAGAGCTTGATGGTACATTTCTCTTCCATTTTCATAGAATCCTAGATATTGTGATTTTTCACAGCTCAGTTGATGCATTTAATTTTAATGATTTAGTAACAGAATGTATAATGTGAGATAGACATGAGCATTATAAAAATCCTATTTCTTTTATATATATATTTTTTTTTTTTAATTGATCTTGGAACAGGGAGAGGGAGAGAAAAACATCAATGATGAGAGAGAATCATTGATTGGCTGCTTCCTGTAACCCCCCCCCTCACTGGGGATCAAGCCCACAACCCAGGCATGTGTCCCTGACTGGACTCAAACCCGTGACCCTTCACTCTGCAGGCTGGCACACCATCCACTGAGCCAAATCGGCCATAGCAATCCTGTTGTTTCTTAAAGTTAAAAAGAGAATCAATAACATATTACTATGTTCTCTAAGGAAGCAATGTTGCTTGAGCAAGTAAAAGGAAGCTCAACTTGAGAGAGGGAATTTTTTAAGTTGTATTTTATTTTTAATATATAAAATATCCAATTGATCAATTCCTATAAGTAATTGCTTTATAGATGGATAGGAATTGTTTCAAGGACAGAGTTTGAAGCAAGCCCCTTTCAGCTGCAAAGAATTGATATGATTCAAGGGCAGTAGAAGATATGGGGACATGTGGATAGACACATAGTAATGAGAGAAGTGGACTCTGAAGGAGTTCCGACCATAGTGCCCAGCCAAGCCAAGAGTGTGAGTCCAAAGGGCTTCAAGTTCCAGGAGTTTGTACATCTTTCCTGGCTCAGTGGCTATGGGCCTTTTTGGTGTGCCATTTCTGTTTGTGTCCTCTTCTCTCCCTATCCATTGCTCTGTCTTTCTTCCTTATGACTAGATGTACTCTGCTCCTGTTTTATGACCTCTCTTTCTGAGCAGACTTTGAGCTTGGGGTCCTATGGCTTGTTGCCTGAATCTCTCCTTAGCCCCTGATTAAAATTTCTGAGAGTAAAAGTCTTACTGCCTCTGCTTATCCCTGTTTGGGCAAAGCTTTGTATATCTGACTGTGACATGGCTATTGGCTAACAGATGGGGTAGGTACCCTTCTTCCCAAAGCCCGATTATTTCTTGGAAAGGACAGGAGGAGGGTAAGGAGCCACATGGTTCAAATACGATCTTTTTTCCTTAGAAGGACCATGTGGCAGACCAGTCCTTCTCAGCAGGGGCTGTGAGCATGGCAGGCCCACGTTCCTAAGTCCACGGACCGACTGACAGGTTACCGGCTTTTATTCACAGGGGCCCGAAGAACCTAAGCTGAAGTGGGAGCACATCACAACCCTCATCACAAGCCTCAGAGAATTTGTGAGATCCACCGACCGAAAAATCATAGCCACCACTCTGTCCAAGCTGAAGTTGGAGCTGGACTTCGACAGCCACGGCATCAGTCAGGTCCAGGTGGTGCTCTTCAGCTTCCAGGATGCTGTAAGTATGAAACTCTGCCAGTGTTTTTCCACAAACTCCGGCGAAAATTAGTCAGAGAAATAGAATGAAACTTAAGTTCTCTTACCTCTCTTTCTTCAGTAATCTCAGTGAATTCTCTTCTCTTCGGATAAGTGTGAGATGGTTGCCCTTTTTGTGTGCTTGTCAGTGTGAGATTTGTGTTTTCTAGGCTTGCATCCCCCAGAGTTAGATATACACAAAATTGTGCACCATGTAAAATAACAAAACTCACCAACATCTCCATGACCAAACTTTGTTCTTATGAAATCATGTAGTGGGTCACTATTTCCGTGACTTGAGCAACAGGCCACACTTGAGTCATGCATGCTCTCATTCTGTATGAGAGGTGCCATCTAGTGGCCATTGAGAAAATGACCGTACAGGTTGGAATGGCCACTACTGAATAAAACCAATAATCCCCACCTCCACCCCATCCCAATTACAAGTAAACATGTTTGTTTAATAAATACTCACTATTTTCTAGCCAGAATTATATCTCAGAGTTCAGGGCATCACTGAATGAAAATTAATACACATGATCTCATGAGACATTGCTGAGGATTCCTCTCTGTCAAACAGCTGCTAAGCAACACTTCCAAAAGCCTGATTCAAAACCATATGCTATCCTTGAATGAGACTTATCTGTGGAGCTCTGTACCAAAAAAAGCCTGAAGCTATTCCTAGAAGGCCCTTTCTGGATATAGATTTAGATAAGAGAGTTCTTGACACTGTCTGTGGTATGAATATAGAAGCACTTTGCATAATTTTATTTAAGTTCAAAAAATAATTCACCCATAATGTATTTATTGCTCTTATGTAAAACTAAAGGCCCAATGCATGAAATTCATGCAAGAGTAGGCCTTCCTTCCCCCGGCTGCTGGCACCGGCTTCCCTCTGGCATCTGGGACTTGGGCTTCCTCGGGTGCCCGGGCTTCATCTGGAAGGTGTCCGGAAGGACCTCTGGTCTAATTAGCATATATGCTTTTATTGTTATAGATTATCTTGGCAATTATAGTTGGAGCATCAAATTTTTCCTGGTTTAAAACCAAATTATAATCCTTCAGGATCCACTGATGTTCTCTGAGACTCTGTGTCAACCACCTCGTCTTTGGGCTTTATTGTGGGTGGGGACAAGACTCCTGACTTGATTGAGGTCATGAAAACAATTGGCAAAGCCTATCATTAATATTCAACATTAAAGGCACACTTACACTGCAAGTAGGGAAACCCAACCATCTGGGAATAGAATAAAATAATTCAGTGAATTCGCACTTGCCCACATATTTGGTTTTCAGCCTGGATGATGGAAAGCAAATTGGCTTGAAGAATTCAGATTGAGAGTGCTTTAGTTATCACACACACACACACACACACACACACACACCACTCTTGTTCACTCATTGTCCAGAATTGGAATAACCTAGAGAATGGGCCCTGTGTAATGTATGTTTAATGAAAAACTGGGAGGAGCAAGTCATGGTCATAAGGGCTCCCTCTTTCATCTTCTGTGTGTGACTCTTGGGAGAAATATTCAGTTTACCAGGTGTTATACCCAGTATTAAATGTAAAAAAGCAGGAAACTCCTTTAAGAAATGAAGGTACTGGGACAGAGTCATTTTGATAAGATTTTCTAGAGCTGTCGTTGGCAAACTGCGGCTCTTGAGCCACATGCGACTCTTTAGCCCCTTGAGTGTGGCTCTTCCACAAAATACCACGGCCTGGGCGAGTCTCTTTTGAAGAAGTGGCGTTAGAAGAAGTTTAAGTTTTAAAAATTTGGCTCTCAAAAGAAATTTCAATTGTAGTACTGTTGATATTTGGCTCTGTGGACTAATGAGTTTGCCAACCACTGTACTATGGCAAGTGAGAACCGAGCCCTGACTCATTTTCTTGGGAGTAACTATTGTGAGGAACCCCTCCGGCCCACTCCCCTCTACCTGAGAGATTTTGATGAAGATGGAGCAAGGGAAAGAACTCCAGCTTTTAGTGCAGGATTGCAGTGAGCTCACCTCTCCAGCTACCTCAAAGAGTTCTAGTCAGAGAATTGTTAGAAAAGTAGCCTCCTTTCTTAGAGGCCAGTGTCAACCAGTAATGAGTGAAGTTAATCCACATTATAAATAAGAGATAAAGGTTATTTTGAAAAGGTAGTGCATGTGGTTTAAGCATACAGTGGAATATTGTTTACCCTTACAAAGGTAGTTCTCACATATTCCACTAACTGAAATAAGCCAGTCACAAAAATACTGTATGATTCCACTTGCATGAGTTACCTACCGTAGTCATATTCGTGGAGACAGGAAGTACAGTGGCGGCTGCCAGGGGCTGTGGGGAGAGGGTAATGTGGAGTCACTGTTAATGGGTACGGAGTTTCCGTTTTGCAAGATGAAAAGGGTTCTGGTGATGGACAGTAGTGATGGTAACACAACAGTGTCAATATACTTAATGCCACTGAACTGAACACTTAGAAATAGTTAAGATGGTAAATTTCATGTTATATTTATTTTACACAATTTTTTAAAACAAAAGTAATCTGTACATCTATTTCAGTGTCTATTTAAATGTGTGAGCCCGGCTGGCCAGCATGGCTCAGCCGTTGAGCAGGGACCTATGAACCAGGAGGTCAAGGTTCAATTCTCACTCAGGGCATGTGCTTGAGTTGCATCTCGATTCCCAGTAGAAGGCGTGCAGGAGGCAGCCAATCAGTGATTCTCATCACTGATGTTTCTATTTCTTTCTCTCCCTCTTCCCTACTCTTTGAAATCAATAAAAGTACATTTTTAAAAATAAAGAAATGTGTGAAATATTACTGTTCAGTTTAAAAAGGTGCCCTTACAACAGAGCACTTTAATGTGAACAGCTTTTCTGGAGTGTCGTAACAGATTATTCCCATTTGTAAAGAACTGGGGGAAAGAAACCAAGGTATGCACTGTGGCAAGTATGTAGGTAGCACATACATGCTCATTTCTCTCCTTTACCTGCTTTTTCAGGGCATCAGAGAATGGCGAAGCACTCAGTTGGATAAAACAGCAGGATCATAACATTTAAGAAAAGTGTTTATTTTTAAGAAGCCCCTCAAACTCTTTTCCCCTCTAATCTCCTCCATCATTCAATCTGTAGACATCATGAAAGATGGAAGCTGCGTGTTCTCTGTTTTAATAGAGCACCCTTCTTGTTTAGCCAGACTGCCTTTCATTTAAATAATGTATCTCATCTGCTTACATGCGGTTCACTGAACTTTAAATTGAAGTGGCAGTTTTTTCACGTGACATAAATTATTCACAACTCCAGGTGAAGAGTCCTTTTTGTTGTTTTGTTGATAAATCCAAATGCTTGCACCAGTTAGGTTATTAGCAATTAAAAATTAATCAAAATGTCACTCTCTTCAGGTGAATAAAGTTCTTCGGAATCATAACATCAAGCCACACTGGATGTTTGCCTTAGACAGTATCATCCGGAAGGCAGTGCAGACGGCCATTACCATTCTGGTTCCAGGTCAGAAACACGTAATTACTTTGTAAATATTTAGTGTTTGATGTTTTATATTGTTGTTCATCTATCATTTATGGTGTCTCCTTACTGCGTTTAAGACCAGACTAAGCCGGTTAGCCTTCTTTTTTTTTTATTAATCTTCTCAGTCAGCAAATGTCACTTATTTAGGGCATGCAGTCTGAGCCACGGTCCAGTAAGCAGGAGGTTTACTGCGAGTGAGGAGACTTACTTCCTTGTTTTTAAAGAGTATATTTGGATAAGAAGAGAAAGAAAATTCTACAAGTGACCCAAATACATGTGGGTTTCAATATGCAGGTATCTATGCTCAGAAAACACATAAGCACATTCTTGTGTCACCTTTACCAGGTTCCCAAACCTGCCGTTGCCTTGAATGATATAGAGTCCTTCGGGATTACAGCTCTCAGAGCTCCTCCCAGGCAGAGTTGAGACTCTCCTGGAGAGAAAGCCCAGCAATCTGATTGTAATCCAATTCCCAGGTCGTTTTGACACACAGCCAGGTTTGGAAAGTGCTGGTCTGTGTTTGCAGTGAGATACAAAAGGGGCAATGTTGAGTGAGGCAAACTTCCAAAAGGGTTTTGATAGTCTACGTAGTAATAAAAGATTTTAAGCAAATCTCCCACCGTGTGTGTGTGTGTGTGTGTGTGTGTGTGTGTGTGTGTGTCTGTGTGTGTGTTTGTGTGTGTGTGTATAGATAGATTTTGGATACATAAATTGGAAGCGTGTTCTATTGTACGATTTGTACTTGTATTTTAAAACATTCTAAAGTAGAAATTATAAAAGGTAAGTATAAACTCTTTTAAAATTTAGATTACTTATAAATGGTTCTGAGAACTTTTAAGTCACCATGAACACTTCCAAGTTGTGGAGGTTCCTCTCTTCTCTCAGAATGCCTGTTTGACTTTCGAGTGAGGGCACCAGTGTCAGTCTTTATATTGAATATTAGTAAGCATTAATTTCTTTCTTATGTAAGAAATGCCCCTCGTACCTTGGCATCCCTGCACCTGTGCATTCTCCAGGCCTCAGACTCCTAATTTACCACAAAGTCTAAATTAGGCTCTTTGTTATTCTCTCTCCTTGGAAATGTTTTTCCCCATTTGTGACATTCGCCACAATCTGAAACTACTTTTATTTTCTTGTCTACTGGCTGATTCTTGCACCAGAGAGCAACTATGTCCATTTTATTCTATTCTGTGCTGAGCACATTGTCTAAGTATAATTGTGCCAATGTTAGTTTCCTCCTTTTGACAAGTATTGCAGGGTAGAAGTTATATGGGAATTCTTTGACTTATCTTTTCAACTCTTCTGAAAGTCTAAAATTCCTCCAAAACAGAAAGTTTGTAAAGCATACTGATTGCCCACTAAAGGTGAAATGGGTAACATTAGGGAAAGGATAGAGTGAGCGCAGAGAGGCTGTCTCCTCCCATGGTGACCCTGTGAAGGACCTGCTTTACCCAACCCATGCGTGGAACAGGCACTTCCTTTGTGAAAAGGGTTTGCTGAGGAAAGTGATTTGTCTGTGAAATTGGTGTCTTGAGGCCCCTGGGAGTCTCAGATGACAATTGAAATTACTGCGTGAAGGGACTTTTTTAAAGTGGAAATTTTAGAGGAGAATTCCATGGAGAAAGTATTTTTTATATTCCTCACAGGATAGGGGAAGACAATGTGTACTGTATACTAGCTACCATTATGTAATTGGTGGGACTGTGTGACAAGATGAACTGGCTTTAAGCATTTGACGGTTCCATCAAATTTCTAAATGTCGTTATTTTGTTATACAGTTAAGATTCAAAGGAGCTATATGCCTGTCTTTATGTTCTCCTGATAAAAATTCCTTTTAGGTGACAAATTACTATAATTAACCTACCAAATTTTGAAAGACGTGCTAAACAAAACAACAGATTTAAAAGTATGCCATCATGAGCACATACATGTAGAGAGGACCCAGGTCTTGGTTTCATTACACCGTCCTCTCTAATAAAAGAAAACATGCAAAATTGACCGTACCTCCGCTGCACCCACAAGCCACGCCCATCAGCCAATCAGTGTGAGTATGTAAATTAACCCAACCAATATGGCGGTTAATTTGTATATCCAGGCCAGAGCGAAGGCTGAAGACAGCGTAGAAAAAAGCCAAACGCTGCCAAAGGGAGTGAAGCTGCAGAGAAGCAAGAAAGTGGGGCAGCAGAGAAGGCAGGGAAGCCAGCGGGGTAGGGAGAAGGAAGAGAAGCCATCAGGGCAGTGGAGACCACAGCAGGAAGCCCTATTGCAGGAATCTTCCTGTAAGGGGCATCTAGTCTACCTAATAAAAGAGTAACATGCTAGTTGGTCCGAAGGTTGTGGGTTATTGTTAAGCTGATCATAAAAGAGTAACATGCTAACTGACTGTACCTTCGTGATGCTCACCAGCCAATCAGGAGTGTGTATGCAAATTAACCCAACAAAGTTCAAGGGTTAATTTGCATATGCAGGCCCCAAGCTTCTCTGAGCAGCATAAGAAGAGGAAAGGCAGCTCTGGCCAGAGCGAAGGCCTATTCTAGTTTCTTTAATAAAAGAAACCGGACCTTCTTGGAGAAATGTTTGATTCAAGGCCTGGAAAGGGGAAAATTCAAGATGAATGTGGGACATCTGATGATGCCAAAAAGTAAGGAAGTGCCCTCAAAAGGAAGGATGGAGGCTGGCTTATTGAAAGGACACTGGAAACAGCTTGAGGTTTTCCCAAAAGTCTAAGCCAGAGCAATTTGAGCAATAAAATAAAATACATTGTATTATAGTCCATAAAATAAACTAAATATCCATGAGTCTATACTGCTATAAGTAATTGAATCAATGAATAAATATATGGAGAAGGGCCAAGTCTTTGTTTTAGTAGAATTTCAATTAATAAGAGTAGAAGGAATGAAGGAAATAGAAAATTAGGCAAACACACAGTAATAACAATTTCAGGCAAGAACCATTCATGGCTACTAAGATCAGTAGGCAGCCGAAACTGGTTTGGCTCAGTGGATAGAGCGTCAGCCTGTGGACTGAAAGGTTTGATTCCAGTCAAGGGCATGTACCTTGGTTGTAGGCACATCCCCAGTAGGGAGTGTGCAAGAGGCAGCTGATGGATGATTCTCTTATCGATGTTTCTAACTCTCTATCCCTCTTCTGTAAAATATCAATAAAATATATTAAAAAATAAAAAAAGATCAGTAGGCAAAGGAGTGACGAGAAACAGGATATTTGAATGATCTTAGAGTTCATCTCCCCACACGATATTTGCTAATTATGAAGGGGAAACGGTGACTTTACAGTGGAGGAACCTGGCAGGCACCTTCTTTACCAAACGATCCAGGTAAACATCATAATGGTAAGATACATCAGCATTATGTACCTTCTAATGTGATGCACTTGGCACAGTATCACCTGGGTGCTATTCTTGCCAAAAATGCAGAGCCTCAACCTCATCATGACAAGACACTAGTGAACTGAAAATGACACAGTGCCAAATCACTGGCCAGGACTCCTGGTAAGTGTGGGGGTCACGGGAGATAAAGAATTAGAAGGTATCTGTCACAGATTGGGAGAAACTGAGGAAACTTGAGCACTAAATGCAGTGTGGGATCTTGGATCAGAAAAGGACATCAGTGGGAAAACTGGTGAAGATCAAATAAGGTCTGTAGATTAGTTCAAAGTATTGTATCAATGTTGATGTCCTGGTTTTGGCGATAGCGTCAAAGCTATATAAGATGTCAGGTTAGGGCAAGCTGCTAAAGGGGATATGGAAAGCTTCTGTACTATTTTTGCAACTTTTTGATATTCTTGACTACTTCAAAATCAAAAGTAAAAATTTTTTTTTAAAAAAGTGCTCAATCTTCTTTCTTCCAAAAAGAGCACACGGAACAGAGAGTACAGTGCAAGCTCCTTTAGAAGTTTTTCTCAGTCTGTTTTCTCACGTGTCCTCAAGAATCTGCCATTAGATGACAGGCAACATGAAGCACAGGCTGCTGGTGATGACCAGATGGAGAAATGCTGGTATAAGAGACCAAGTTGGCAGTGCTTAGGCAGAGAGAAGTGATAATGCAGGCATACTTCCTATATTAACAATAATTTTTAAACACTTGATATTATAATACTACCAGTATGTTAAGCTGAATCAGTCATGGTCCACATGAATGTAAACCGACCAACATTCTATGAGGATCTTAATGTAGGCATCATACCCTGTGCACTGACAAGTATTATGATTTTATTTGGCATCAAAAATATCCTGTGTTGCCGAAACCGGTTTGGCTCAGCGGTAGAGCGTCGGTCTGCGGACTGAAAGGTCCCAGGTTCGATTCCAGTCAAGGGCATGTACATTGGTTGCGGGCACATCCCCGGTAGGGGGTTTCTGGCTCTCTATCTTTCTCCCTTCCTCTCTGTAAAAAATCAATAAAATATATATTATATATATATATATATATATATATATATATATATATATATATATATATATATATATATCTCCTATGTTAAAACAGGTTGCTCTAATTATTTTCCTCTGGGCAAACACCAGTTGCGTTGGGGTGGGGTAGGGAAGTGGAGATAGCATTGTTGCTTAATCCCCTCTTGTTGTTCTGTAAATGCACTGGCTCTAGTTTCCCACACATGAATTAATCACCGTCCATTTGTTACATTCCCCCCTCCCTCTCCATTCCCTACCCCCAGTCCCGGCCTTTCTCCTGGCACCTGGCTCTCTCCTGACAGTCCACTCTGCTCTCCTTTCTTCTCAGAAGCCTCTGGGCTACCATTTGAGCTTCCTTCTCTCTAAAGCCCCTCCCTCTCTCTCCACCAGCCAAGACTTTCTCCTTCTCCAGACCCTGCTTAGGCCCTCTTCCTCCAGGAATCCTCCAGAGAGTAAGCCACCACTAGCTTTAATTATTGCAAAAGTGCTTTATTTACTCCTTAGCACTCTTAATACATGCACACAGGAGTTATATATGTAACTAGGTCTATACCTGAGGCCATCTAAGATATTTTTGGCTGTATTAATTAGTACTTAAAATTTCATTGTATGGCTTTCTTGTATATTTATCCTAGATTTCCTTTACCTTGTTATTTCTGGGGACAAGGACTGGATGCTGTATCTCATTTGGACATTTTACAATGTGTTGAAAGACCAAAATAACAAATTATCTACTTTCTTCAAATTGAGATAATTTAAAAAAAAATAACATTTATTGATTTTTTTACAGAGAGAAAGGAAGAGGGATAGAGAGTTAGAAACATCGATCAGCTGCCTCCTGCACATCTCCTACTGGGGATGTGCCTGCAACCAAGGTACATGCCCTTGACCAGAATAGAACCTGGGACCCTTCAGTCCGCAGGCCGATGCTGTATCCACTGAGCCAAACCGGTTTCGGCTGAGATAATTTTTTAGTCATACATAAAATGATAATTTAGAGTATATAGAGTTAAGGGATATTTAAATATCAGAAATTTTCCCTCCCAAAAGGTATAGTCAACAGGATTATAAAACTTTAGTAGTTTTAAAATTTTCAGTTAGAGACCATAAAAGGAATTTAAGAATAATTTTAGAAAAAAGTTAAAAGGCCTAATCTTATGTTCTAATTTAATCTAGAACTCTACTTTTTAAAATTATTTTTAAAATAAAATATTTTTTCATTATTTTGTTGCCTTCTTAAATACAGATAATCTAGAATAACTTTTTCATTCTGCCAACATTTTTTGAGAAGCTATTAGGCCTTGGCCTCCAGACTAGGTGCTGGGTTTACAAAGTAAAACACTTGCTTTCGAGTCACTCCTACTGTAGATGATTTTGGAAAAAGAATTTGGAAATTGATAATGCAGAAAGCAGAGTAGAGGTGGATTTTGGTGAACCTTAAAAAATAAAGGGCACAGATGTGGAGAAATTGGAACCTTTATTTAGGGTTGTAAGATGGTGCAGCACTATGGAAAACAGTGGTGTCTCCTCAAAAAATTAAAAATGGAACTACCATATGATCCAGAAATTGCTTTTCTGAGGATATATCCAAAAGAATTCAAAGTAGGATTTCAGAGTTATTTGTACAGCCAAGTTCATAGCAGCATTATTCACAGTAGCCAAGAGGTGGAAGAGGTGGAAGTGTCCATTGACAGATGAATGGATAAAGAATATGTGGTACATATATACAGTGGAATATTATTCAACCTTAAAAAGAAGGAAATTTCAATACACACTACAACATGGATGAACCTTAAGGACATTATGCTAAGTGAAATAAACCCATCGCAAAAAGACAAATACTTTATGATTCTAATTATATGAGGGATCTATAGTAATCAAATTCAAAGAAACAGAAAGTAGAATGGTGGTTGCCAAGGATATGGGGGAGGGGGAAATTAGAGAGCTGTTTAACGGGTATAGCGTTTCAATTTTGTAAGATAAAAAAGTTCTGGAGAATGGTTGAACAACAATATGTATGTACCCAACACTACAATTTGTACACTTAGAAATGGTGAAAATTGTAAATTTTGTGTCATGTACTTTTAAACCTTCAAAAAAGTAAAAATAAATAAATAAACAGAGAGAGATAAAAAGAAGTCAGGGCTACATAAACTTGACCCTAAGAAGGGCACTCTGGTTTTTGTTATGAAAAAACAGTGAGTTCCTGTTTTGATTGTTGAATTTAAATGCCTGCCCAACAGGAATATCTAGGAGGTGTTGGATGTAACAGGATCAGGGCCAGAAATATACTTTGTTATCCCCACATTACAAGTATTTGAGCTTCATATATTTTAATGAGCTCACCCATATAGAGTAAATAGAAACATGAAAAAAGTGAAGGATAGATTTCCAAGTTCCTGCTTTTAAAGGCAGGTCGTAGGCAAAAAGGCTCTGAAGAAGAGAAGCAGAAAGATTTTGAGGAAGGTACTATAATATATGCAGGTCGGGTAAGGTAAGGAAAGAGTTATTTGGAAGATTTGGCAACTAATGAGCCTCTGGTTGTCCTGCCAGAGTGGCTGTATTGGAGTGGTGGGATGGGGTCTTCATCACTCCTCCAGAGCCCTCTCCCCCACACATCTGTGGTTCATGGACTCTTGGGACAGGCTTGCATGGACCCGTGAGTCCTCAGGAAATCCAGGCAAAATGTTGTATGAACATTTGGGGGAGAACCTCTGCGGCTTCCAGATAGTCTTGCTAAAGTGAATATAAGCATGTGGCATTTTCAGTAGCCCCTTCTATCCCCTTACGTTTTGACTGTCACAGGCAAAAAGCATTCTTTGTACTTACGTTTGTTTAGTAGTCGGCAAACTCATTAGTTAACAGAGCCAAATACCAACAGTACAACGATTAAAATTTCTTTTGAGAGCCAAATTTTTTAAATTTAAAACTATATAAGGAGGTACATTGTTATTAACTTAATTAGGGTACGTGGCATTTTGTGGAAGAGCCACACTCAAGGGGCCAAAGAGCTGCATGTGGCTCACGAGCCGCGGTTTGCCGACCACTGGTTTAGATCAAGTCTCTATATCTGTTTCCTCGTTTCTGAGTAATTGCCAGATAGCATATAATCTAAAAAAATGAATTCTACTTGTATAAATAAATTTTTCTGTTTTTATTTAAGTGTCTTTCTGGTTTTAGTATTTATCTTATGTGTGATGTGAATATTTCTTTTTGAGTTAAATCATTGACTATATATCTTGTGAATTTTGTAAATTCACTGGCAGAACAAACCTGAATTACTGAACAGAAGTCCATCCTCACTTTTGAAAAATTAGTTTGGAATGCAAATCTTATTGACAGCAGGGGAGATGACATCCATGTCTTAAGAAATTAAGGCAATCGGTCGTGTTTTAATAACACTGTGGTTGATATTATGCTTGACAGAACTGAGGCCACATTTTAGCCTTGCGTCTGAGAGTGATACAGCAGATCAGGAAGACTTGGATGCAGAAGATGACCATGAGGAGCAGCCTCCGAATCGAATTGTCCGAAGACCTCATGCCATCCTTGAAGATGCTGTGGCTACCTCAGGGGTGAGCACGCTCAGTTCTACTGTATCCCACAATTCCCAGAATGCTCACCGGTCACTGAATGTACAGCTTGGAAGAATGAAGATAGAAACTAACAGGTAAGTCCTATTCTGACACGGGTAGGTTTCTTTTTTTCTGACTTTAAGTGCATGTGTTTTGGGTCTACTTTACAGTTAGGTCCACAGAAAATTCAAAATATGATTCCTTTATCCCATCCATGTAACCTTGATTTAAAGCCTTTGTGTGTGAGAGATTTATTTTAGTCTCTTTAGTCAAATACATTTTCTGTTTCTACCAATTCAAGCTCCCAGCACCTTTTCCTTAACCACTGCTTTGTCACTCACTGCACTGAGGCTTTTGGAGTTTCTTTGGTGTAACCTCAGGGACTGCCTTGGACACACTCGGAGCAGCATGTGCTGTCCAACAGATAGCTGACAGACAGACAGAAAGCCCGTGTTCTTCCAAGCCCAGGACTTGGAATATCGGGTTCTTTCAGGAGAGGAAGGTCTCTGTTCTTGAGGAGATAAAACTAATGGTACAAAGCTTTACATTTTAGAACCTTAAGAGGATGATCAATTCTGTTTTACTTTTAATGTGGTGTGTCATATCTGGAGTTTAATTTTTCTTCGGAGTTTGATAATATAGAACCTACATAATCAGGTTATTAAATGAACAGTAAACATTTCCTGTTCTTCACAGATGTTGGTACAGTTCAAGGTCTGACTTTTGATGATTTATAGCTTCCTGTGCCGGCTACAGTTGGCATGTGGGCAACTGGGATTACAGTGAAAAAAAAAAAAATTTTTTTTGTTTTTAGCAAATCAATAGAAGTTGTTCAAATATTTAGAAACCTCAGTTGAAAATTTTAATTGTTCACCAGGGAAATAAAACATGTATTTCTGCTCATAAGTTTACATTTCTAAGGTTAAGCAAGTTTAATACAAGTAGTACAAAACTCATCCTATATTTAGAAACATGAATTGCAGTTGCATTATTTAGTAACTTCACACATATCTTCTGTGATGTGCATATAGAAATCCTCCTGAATAAAGAGACAGTGGCTTTCAGACTGCCATACCCAATCTTGTCCTTTGAGGTTTTCCCCAGCTCTTTACTTGCCGTCTCTACTGCTTAATAGAAGAGTTTGAGTCTCTTTGATCTTTGACATGTCTGTCTAAATCATTGTGTAATAAATAATCCAATTAGGATACTCCATACGTTACAGTAGTCACTTCTCTTTATTGACTCTCTGTCCTCTGATCCTGAATGGAGTTGGCTTTTTCGACGCCTTACTGATCTCCGGAGGGGAAAGTTCACTCATTATTGTTTTGGTCCAGCCACCCATCCCACTCTGCCCTTGGCTTCCAGTCTGATTTCTACAGACAGTAAAGCTACTTTATTTACCAATGAGCTGGTATATTTGCTCCCCTGGCCCTAAAACCTTCTGTCTACAGAACGGAGGCTTATGTCAATAGAACCTGCCTCTCCTAAATTAAATGTAGCCATTTCCTTCTCTCCTTCGCCCATCTGCGTTTCCTGTCTCACCACCCTGTCCCCGCCTTCTGTCCACCATGCTTGTGCCATCTGCAGTCCCCAAGGGCTGCTCTTTGCCAGCCGCCAAGTTTAAGACCTCACACCCATTTTCTGAGGGCATCAGCTAGCTGAAGGCCTGCTGCCCACACCTGCCCATCTCTGTTACAAGGCTCGGCTTTGCCACATTTCTTTACTGCATTAAGAGGAATTGCATTTTTCACAAAAGCCCACACAGTTATGCTTTTTCTCTACATATTTACACTTAAATCGGTGAAACCTACAGGATTATAAGCCTCCTTTATTTTTTTTCTAGGAATATCTCCCACAGCTTCTCCATCACCCCCAGAAGTGAGCTGAGGCCCAACATTCATTTCACAGGATTAAAGAGAGGGCAGCTGCTGTGCACAAGTCCTAAGCAAGGGCAGTAAGGGACTGGTCACTCCTATACTGGCCCTTTGTTCTTCAGTTGAATATTACCTGATATATTAGGGTACATTTATTGCAAAACAAGCTTAGAAAAAGGGTCAGTGTGTTTTAAGGAAAGGTTGTAGCCCTCATGTTAGAAACCTTATATTTAGGACAACAGTTTTCAACCTTTTTCATCTCGTGGGCACACATAAACTAATTACTGAAATTCTGCGGCACACCAAAAAATAGGTATCATTTTTGAATCATTCACACCAGACAGCTGTTGTTGTGTTGGCTGTTGTTACTTAATTTGACAATCTAAGGGAAAACAGGTTAGTGCCCCTGACTAAAATATAATAGTCAGGTATCGAATGTGTTAACATATTTCACAGCTCGCCAGTTGAGTCACTGAGTTAGGATAATTACTGATGAAAGTAAATCAGGTTTCTCCAACTCTGGATTATTAGATCAATAATACTAAATGAGAAAAGTAACAAAATAGCTTTAGAATTTATGTTTTAGGGTAACATAACATTCAGACCTGTAAAGAATTTGTGTGAGTTTATTTGGCCAAACTGTCGACAATTGCTTAGGAAGTAGAATCTCTCAGGTATTGGGATAATGCTACAGAGTATGGCAGTTTTTCATCTACTTTTATACATTGCAATAAAAGAAGATCTAGATGGGTTACATGAAATCTATTAGTGAGAGATTAGAGAGGCGGGAGAAAGCAAAGCAGGGGGCGGTCCTCAGGACCTCTGAGATTGGATAAAAAGTAAAATGATAGATATATACTTAGGTGGGTGCAGGATAGTTAACAGCCAACAATTAATATGATAACGGTAACAAAGAAGGGATTTATGGCTCCGGTCTTGGTGCCAAGGGCATTTGGTTGTGGCCTGAGGGGTTTGGAAAAAAGGGAAGTTCAAGTTACTCAAATGTTTCAAGGGTATGTTATCATATGTGCAAAAAGACTGATAGGCTCAGTTAAGGTGAAGGCTGACCTTGTCAGGGAACATACTGGCCTAGGAGGTGACTACCCTCCATAACTGCTTTTAGTTAAAGTTTAATTTCAGACCATCCTTTGTGGTTACTTTAGGTCTCTGAGTTTGCAAAACCCCCATGCGGACCTTCCCTGAGCTTGTCAGATTAGCAAGTGGCCCCTTTAATCCACATTTACTTACATTTAAACATTTGCTTACATAAGATGTCCTGACAGTAATTAATTTCACACAGAGAGGTGGGACAGTAATGAAGTTCGTCAAATCTAACTCAGGAGGAACTGAATGGTTATCTAATTTTCCTATTCTACAATTCTGGAATTCTGTCCCCACCCATCCGAGTTAAAAAGTTCACAGATCCTTGCCAAACTTCTGGAACGGAGGTAGCAAATGCCTTGGTTTCTAAGATTTCCCTACTGATGGTATGGAAGACAAAGTAAAGATAAAACTGATGGGCTGGATATAGCTGAAAATAAATAATTCTGAGAGATGGATTTGGGACAAATAAGGTGGTCTATCAATATGTTGCTTCCAATATTAGGTTCTGGTTTTAAAGATAAAAAGGACCTAACATATTCTGATTTTAAAGCTAAAAAGGAGCCGAAACCGGTTTGGCTCAGTGGACAGAGCGTCGATCTGCAGACTAAAGGGTTCCAGGTTCGATTCCTGTCAAGGGCATGTACATTGGTTGCGGGCACATCCCCAGTAGGAGGTGTGCAGGAGGCAGCTGGTCGATGTTTCTCTCTCATTGATGTTTCTGACTCTCTATCCCTCTCTCTTCCTCTCTGTAAAAAAATCAATAAAATATATTTTTTTAAAATAAAGATAAAAGATAAAAAGGAAATAATAGAGTCTAAATAACCATCGGTTAGATTCTAGAAAGTCTCACTGTGCTCTTTGAGGAAACGATAAGAACATACCATCACTATTCCATACAATCAGAGAGCAAGGAAGACAAAAATATATACCAGATCAAAAAATTGCCAAGTTAAAAACTCATATTGAGCTTACTATCCGTTTCTCCGAATATCATTCCTGTCAGAGTAGATAAAAACCTCCCTTCACCCTTCCCTCCCTCCACTTTCAGCTCTTAATTCCGACTAATTGTTCACAGCTTACTGTAAATAACCTGCCTTCCTCAAATGCCTTCTCCGGTTGCCCCATTTGTTTTCCCTTTATTTTGCCTCCCCTGCCTACTCTACAAGGTTCCCTTCTCCTCTGTGTCCTGTTGGGGGTGGAGGAGGGGGAACCTGGGGGTCATGAAAGAACCCCTCTGAGCCCTGGGAGGGCTCTTTTCCAGGGCCTGAGGCTGTAGCAGGCAACAGAATCGCCATTATTAAAGGCCAAGCATCTTAGCTACGTTGTCTCAATGCTCACAGTAATTCTAACAGGAAAATTTCCTTTTACCTTTTAACGTGTGACAAAACTGAACCCAGCAGGGTGAAGTAATTTGTCCCAGTTTGCACAGGAAGTACAGGCTGAGCCTGGACGTTCCCAGAGCTGTTACTCATTTGCGCTGGGTGCTGCCTTTCGGAACATGAGAGCTGACGCAGAAACAGAAGAATCTGGTCCTGAGTTAAATCTCCCAATGCCAAAAATGAAGTGCAGTTTTCTAAGGGCTGTAGTGTTTGCAACAATCTAAACTGATAAAATTATGGATAGATTATAATTCCTAGTCTAAATTACTCAAAGATAGTTTTCTAAAAAAAAAAAAAAATCAGAACATCTATCTTCTTCACAGAGAACAGTGTTAGAAAAGGCAAGTAAATTACCAGTTGGCTCTCGGTTGCATGGTGAACCTTCCATGGGTAAGGGCAATGGTATAAAGGATACCTTAGTTTCTCCTTGTTTCTTTGGAAAATGCATTCGATGCCAACTAGGAACTGAAAGTGCCAGGAACACAGCTATCCTTTTACTCACTTCGCCACTGCTTTAGAAGGGAGAGGAATAATGTAACAGCCACAGTGATCAGTAACATTAATTGAATCATGTGCCAGATACTATAAGTGACCTTACCTATAGTTACTTCTCAAATATACATAGTTTTTAAAAATTACTACCTTTCTCCTTTGCACTGATTATTGTATTACCCATCTTGACTAACGTTTTTTGATAAAGGGCCATATATGTAAAATATAGGTCTGTTAAACTAAACATATATAGAGTATAATTTTTTTTTTTTGCCACTTATGGGCATAAAAGAAAAAATAGAACATCGCTGAAGATTTGGTGGACAGTTGGGGGTGGAGGTTTTGAATTCTGGTCTGGAAGCACACTGTTCTAGAGCTTTACTGCTCAACATGGAATCTGTGGACCCACAACAGGAGTACTGCCTGGGAGCTCCTTGGAAATGCAGAATCCCAGAGCTACTGGATCAGAATCTGCATTTCAATGAAATGCCAGGCGTGTCTGCTCACTGCAGCTTGAGAAGTCCTCCAATAGAAGGTCACTCTGGCTGCTCCAGTTTTATTACCTTGTCAATCACTGTAATTTTCTTCTGCAGATTACTGGAAGCATTGGTTCAGAAAGAGAAAGAATTACAAGCACTCCTTCATTATGCTATTGAAGAAAAGGACCAAGAAATTAAACACCTGAAGCTTAAGTCCCAGCCAATCGGTGAATAAGAAAATTTTAAAGTAAAACCGTTCAGCCAGGCTGCCACAGAAAACAAAGCCAACAGGCGGTTTCATTTCATGGTTTAGTCAGCGTCTATTACGTGTACCGCAACTACGAAGAGATTGCTTTTAATTCTTAATTATAGCAGATTATCATTTCTTATAAGTGCAGTAAAAATAAGATGATTCATAGCCATTTTTTCCTGAAATTATAAATTTTTGAGTAAATAGGGCTCTCCACTTTTTTTCTTTATTCTTTTTAAAGATTTCATAATGAGATGACTAGACGAAAATAATACTGTTTTTGTCATTTTTGCATTTGTATTCTGTGCAGTCTCGCTTTTTTCATATTATTGAAAATAGTGGGAAAAGGTTATTATAATTATTTGGTTAATTACACTCATCTTAGGTGCATGAAAAATAGTACAATTTTGGAACACCAAATTTATTCTAAGAAACTATAAAATGGTTAAGAAAGGTAAAGGTGGGAGTATCATTACATTCTTGCTTCTGACTCTCCGTTTCTTAATAGATTAAATGCTCTTTAAGCATTTTACTTATAGTTTGTACTGCCAATCTTCATTGTTTCTATTAATTATTTAGAGCAAAATTTTTTAAAGTATTAATGATCTCTCTTAGGTGAAGCTAATAATGCTCCCCTTTCCCCCAATTCTCTCCTAGATATTCCTGGATCACCTGCACATCGCTCAACTGCTGGCAGAAATACTGAAGATTCTAAACTCACTGACTGGCTGAGAGAAAATGGAGCTGATGAAGACACTATAAGTCAGGTAGAGGAACCTGTGGGACAAGCATTATTTCACTTCATTTCATAATGTTAAGTTTCCACTATACGGTATGTTAGGCACAGGGGATATACTGGTGAGCAACTCAGACCCTGAGCTGCCCTCCTAAGGCTTACAGACTAGGATAGGCAGACAATTCTATATAATAAAAGGCTAATATGGAAATAGACCAAACAGCACAACAACCAATCAGAGCATAATATGCTAATGATATGCTAAGGCTGCTCAACCACTTGCTATGACATACATTGATCACCAGGGGGTCCAACTGGTAGGTTATCTTGCTGCTGGGGTCCGGCTGGTCAGGACTGAGTGAGATGGGCCAGACATACCCTGGAGCCCTCCCGAGGTTCCTTCCTCCCCCAGCCTGATTGTGCACCAGTGGGGTCCTTCAGCCTGACCTACACCCTCTCTCAATCCAGGACTCCTCAGGGGATATCAGACAGCTGGTTTCAGCCCTATCGCACAGGGCACTCCCCTTGGGAGGGCACCAGACACAGGGCTCATGGCTGATAAGCACTGCTGTAGCAGTGTGAGCCTCTCCCAATAGGATTGATTGGGCGCCAGCCCATGGCAGGCACAATGGGGCTGGGATGAGTGGGAGCAGCAGGTAGGAGCTGCAGGAAGCATTGGATTGTGGGTTTCGGCCCAATCCCTGCAGGCCATGCAGAGATCCTACCTGTGCACGAATTCATGCACTGGGCCTCTAGTAATCAAATAATTCCACAGATAAAAGTATAATGATGCTCTGGTAAATTCTGTAAAAGAAAGATTATCAGATGTTATGAGACAGAGGGAGGGAGAGGTTGGGGAAGATGCTTTGAGAAGGAATAAACTGGACCATTTATATGTATGTACTATAGGCCCGGTACACAAAATTTGTGCAGGGGGAAAATTTGTGCAATGTGTCCCTCAGCTCAGCCTGCATGCTCTCCAATCTGGGACTCCTTGAGGGATGTCTGACTGCCTGTTTAGGGCTTATTCGGGTAGTATCAGGCCTAAACAGGCAGTCAGACATCCCTTTCACAATCCAGGACTGCTGGCTCCCAAATGCTCACCTGCCTGCCTTCCTGATTGCCCCTAACCACTTCTGCCTGCCAGCCTGATCACCCCCTAACCACTCCCATGCCAGCCTGATTGTTCCTAACTGCCCTCTCCTGCAGGCCTGTTTGCCCCTAACTGCCCTCCCCTGCAGGCCTGGTCCCCCGCAACTTCCCTTCTCTGCTGGTCTGGTCACCTAACTGCCCTCCCTTGCAGGCCTGGTCCCTCCCAACTGCCCTCCTTTGCTGGCCTTCTTGTAGTGTCCAGCTTGTGTCCACATGGAGGCAGCCATCTTGTGTGTTGGAGTGATGGTCAGTTTGCATATTACTCTTTTATAAGATAGGATAGAGGCTTGGTGCACAAGTGGGGACTGGATTGCCCTGAAGAGTATCCTGGATCAGGGTAGGGATTCCCTTGGGGTGTGGGGTGGCCTGGGCGAGGGGCCTGTGGTGGTTTGCAGGCCAGCCACGCCCCCCGTAACCCAAGAGGAGGCCCTGGTATCTGGGATTTATTTATCTTCTATAATTGAAACTTTGTAGCCTTGAGCGGAGACTTGGGCCGGCCAGGGTGTGCAGGAAGCTTGGCTTCCTCCACCGCCAGGGAAACCCAAGCCTCCTGTTCACTCTGTGGCCGCAGCCATTTTTGTTGGGATTTATTTATCTTCTATAATTGAAACTTTGTAGCCTTGGATGGAGTCCAGAGCCAGCCAGGGTATGTGGAAAGCTTGGCTTCTTCCATTGCTGGAGAAACCCAAGCCTCCTGCTCAATCCATGGTCACAGCCATCTTGGTTGGATTAATTTGCATTACTCGCTGGTGGGCATGGTTGGTGGGATTGGCTGGTGGGCATGGTTTGTGGGTGTAGCAAAAGTACGGTCAATTTACATATACTCTTTGATTAGATAGGATTAGATGGGCAGACAAAAAGGGGAAATCATTCAAGTATGGAATATGCATACAATCATCTTTGTCAACTAGGACCCTTAAGGAATTTTATATTTTTGAATTGAAAATAATGAAAAGTGTAGAGATCACGACAGAACTAAAATAATTTTCACTTTTGTGTATTAATTTTTTAATTCTCTTGTGACATTATTAAGCTCCACAGGGCAATGCCTCTTTATTGAAATGTAATAAAATAGATCTATTTAATGAATTTATATCAGGAACACTTCCTGTATAAGCCATATTATTATTATCTCTAATAACCTAATTCTTCTCTGCTCCTTATGGACTTTGTAATCAGCCTGAATAGCATTTGTTTATGTTTAAGACTACATATGTGTATATACATATTCACACAATAAGAGGTTATATTTTTGTTATTTTATAGAAAGGGTCTCTTAATACATATTACATTGATTTCAGTTTTATATTTAAATCTTAAAAATAATTGAATAAGATGTCTTTTCTTTTGACTTGATAATTTATTAGACCACTAAAATGTAGGGACTCCTTAGAAATCTGCATTTAACAACTTATGCTACATACATTTAAACAATTCACTTGCCTATGGAAAGTAATGCATGCAATCAAGTTCTCCAAAATATCTCTTTTACTGGGACTCAGATCTCAATTAAGGAGTAGTAACTGATGATCCTCTAAACCACTGCCCCCGTTTTTTATTTATTTTCTATTTTTTATTTTTTTTTTTTTTTTTTTTTTTTTGACTTAGTTTTCATTTAATTCTTGTTTGTATCTCTCTGACAATGAATTACAATTTCCATTTGTTCTGTGTGCCTTAGAAAATGAAAATGCATAAGAAAATAATTATCCTCTGAGCTTTTCCAGGGTTATCTTCAGAATCTAGTGTTTGCTCTAATCTGAGTCAAACGCACCAAGCAATAGCTCTATTGGAGGCATCTTTGGGAGACTTAAGGTTTCTGTACAAGTTAGACTGAAGCCCTAGAATCAGTGTCTTTTCCTAATAATAACCCAAAAGGTGCACACCAATTCATTTCCAGAAAAACACATGTTACAGGGCTACTGTGATTCTCTGTGCTCCCAATTACATTACATTGTTTGGTTCTTCAGTTCCAGAACAGTCTGCAACAGACATGATACGCAAATATTAGATTTTAAAATTGTATTTTTATAATGTATTTGAGGTATAAATAAGGACCCCAACGTTGGATGTGGTGAAAGTATATTTCTGAGGTCACGAACCTGGTTGATGACAATGTTTAGGTTATTATAAACTTAACTGGCACTTAATTTTCTTATCTGTACTCTTTTTTTTTTTTATTTTTTTATTTTTTTTTTTTAATTTTTTTTTTATTTTACATATTTTATTGATTTTTTTTTTTGCCCCCCTCCTTCCCTCCCATGTATCCCCTCCCTCCCCAGAGTTTTATGTCCATTGGTTGTACTTATATGCAGGTATACAAGTCCTTGGGTTGATTTATTGTCTCCCCCAGACCCTCCTCCCCTCCCCGTTGTAATTTGACAATCTGCTTGTTGCTTTACTGTCTCTATATCTATCTTTTGGTTCATCAGTTTATAATGATCTTTATTATCCACAAATGAGTGGGGTCATGTGGTGTTTCTCTTTCATTGATTGGCTTATTTCACTCAGCATGATGTTCTCCAATTCCATCCAGGTTGCTGCAAATGATGAGAATTCCTTCTTTTTTATGGCAGCATAGTATTCCATTGTGTAGATGTACCAAAGTTTTTGGATCCAATCATCAGCTGACGGGCACCTCGGCTGTTTCCAGATTCTGGCTATTGTAGATTGTGCTGCTATGAACATAGGGGTGCATATATCCTTTCTGATTGGTGTTTCTAGTTTCTTGGGATATATTCCAAGAAGTGGGATTACTGGGTCAAATGGGAGTTCCATTCTCAGTTTTTTGAGGAAACTCCACACTGTTCTCCACAGTGGTTGCACCAGTCTGCATTCCCACCAGCAGTGCACGAGGGTTCCTTTTTCTCCGCAACCTCGCCAACACTTGTCGTTTGTTGATTTGTTGATGTTGGCCATTCTGACAGGTGTGAGATGGTACCGCATTGTTGTTTTGATTTGCATCTCTCGGATAATTAGTGACTTTGAGCATGTTTTCATGTGCCTTTTGGCCTTCTTTCTGTCTTCTTTTGTAAATATTCTATTTAGGTCCATTGCCCATTTTTTAATTGGATCATTCATCTTCCTTTTATTTAGTTGTATCAGCTGTCTGTAGATGTTGGAGATTAAACCTTTATCCGTGGTATTATTTGCAAATATATTCTCCCATACCGTGGGCTTTCTTGTTGTTTTGTTGATGGTTTCTTTTGCTGTAAAAAAACTTTTTATTTTGATGTAGTCCCATTTGTTTATTTTCTCTTTAGCTTCCATTGCCCTAGGGGCAGTATCAGTGAAGAAGTTCTTTTGGCATACGTCTGAGATTTTGCTGCCTGCGGATGCTTCTAGTATTTTTATGGTTTCCCGTCTGATGTTTAAGTCCTGTATCCATTTTGAGTTTATTTTTGTGTATGGTGTAAGTTGGTGATCTAGTTTCATTCTTTTGCATGTGTCTACCCAATTTTCCCAACACCATTTATTGAAGAAACTGTCTTGACTCCATTGTATATTCGTGCCTCCTTTGTCAAATATTAATTGAGCATAGTGATTTGGGTTGATATCTGGGTTCTCGATTCTATTCCATTGATCTATATGTCTGTTCTTGTGCCAGTACCAGGCTGTTTTGAGAACAGTGGCTTTGTAATACAGTTTGAAGTCTGGTATTGAGATCCCTCCTACTTTACCCTTCTTTCTCAGGATTGCTGTGGCTATTCGGGGTCTTTTATTGTTCCAAATGAACTTTTGGAGAGTTCTTTCTAGGTCGGTGAAATATGCCGTTGGTATTTTAATGGGGAGTGCATTGAACCTATAGATTGCTTTAGGAAGTATGGACATTTTGATGATGTTGATTCTACCAATCCATGAACATGGTATATTCTTCCATCT